CCGTGAGAAGAACTCTATGCAAGGGAAGGATGTGCATTGAGGACTACCATTGCATGCAGAGCTTTGGGGGGGGAAGTTTAGAAAATGACTTGCAATGGTGACAAGAACTCTATGAAAGGGAAGGATGTGCATTGAGGACTACCCTTGCATGCAGAGCTTTGGGGGGGGGGAAGTTTAGAAAATGACTTGCAATGGTGACAAGAACTCTATGCAAGGGAAGGATGTGCATTCAGAAATACCATTGCATGCAGAGCTTTTAGGGGGGGAAGTTTAGAAAATGACTTGCAACCGTGACAAGAACTCTGTGAAAAGGAAGGATGTGCATTGAGGAATACCATTGTATGCAGAGCTTTGGGGGGGGGGAATTTAGAAAATGACTTGCAATGGTGACAAGAACTCTATGAAAGGGAAGGATGTGCATTGAGGAATACCATTGTATGCAGAGCTTTGGGGGGGGAAGTTTATAAAAATGACTTGCAACCGTGACAAGAACTCTGTGCAAGGGAAGGATGTGCATTGAGGACTACCATTGCATGCAGAGCTTTGGGGGGGGAAGTTTAGAAAATGACTTGCAAAGGTGACAAGAACTCGATGAAAGGGAAGGATGTGCATTGAGGAATACCATTGTATGCAGAGCTTGGGGGGGGAAGTTTAGAAAATGACTTGCAATGGTGACAAGAACTCTATGCAAGGGAAGGATGCGCATTCAGAAATACCATTGCATGCAGAGCTTTCGGGTGGGAAGTTTAGAAAATGACTTGCAATGGTGACAAGAACTCTATGCAAGGGAAGGATGCGCATTCAGAAATACCATGGCATGCAGAGCTTTTCGGGGGGGAAGTTTAGAAAATGACTTGCAATCGTGACAAGAACTCTGTGAAAGGGAAGGATGTGCATTGAGGACTACCATTGCATGTCGAGCTTTGGGGGGGGGAAGTTTAGAAAATGACTTGCAATCGTGACAAGAACTCTGTGAAAGGGAAGGATGTGCATTGAGGACTACCATTGCATGCAGAGCTTTGGGGGGGGGGAAGTTATAAAAATGACTTGCAATCGTGACAAGAACTCTGTGAAAGGGAAGGATGTGCATTGAGGACTACCATTGCATGCAGAGCTTTGGGGGGGGAGAAGTTTAGAAAAGGACTTGCAATCGTGACAAGAACTCTGTGAAAGGAAAGGATGTGCATTGAGGAATACCATTGTATGCAGAGCTTTGGGGGGGGGAAGTTTAGAAAATGACTTGCAATCGTGACAAGAACTCTGTGAAAGGGAAGGTATGCATTGATGACTACTATTGCATGTAGGGCTTTGGGGGGGAAGTTTAGAAAATGACTTGCAATGGTGACAAGAACTCTATGCAAGGGAAGGATTTGCATTGAGGAAATTAACCCATTGCAAAAAAAATGCACTCAGACCAAAAAATGCCCAATTTGGCGCTAGCTTCTGGTTTTTGTGTGGGGTGCATTTATCCGCCCTAGCTTCCCACTCCTTCCTCCCGCTCTATGCAAGGGAAGGATGCGCATTCAGAAATACCATTGCATGCAGAGCTTTCGGGTGGGAAGTTTAGAAAATGACTTGCAATGGTGACAAGAACTCTATGCAAGGGAAGGATGCGCATTCAGAAATACCATGGCATGCAGAGCTTTTCGGGGGGGAAGTTTAGAAAATGACTTGCAATCGTGACAAGAACTCTGTGAAAGGGAAGGATGTGCATTGAGGACTACCATTGCATGTCGAGCTTTGGGGGGGGGAAGTTTAGAAAATGACTTGCAATCGTGACAAGAACTCTGTGAAAGGGAAGGATGTGCATTGAGGACTACCATTGCATGCAGAGCTTTGGGGGGGGGGAAGTTATAAAAATGACTTGCAATCGTGACAAGAACTCTGTGAAAGGGAAGGATGTGCATTGAGGACTACCATTGCATGCAGAGCTTTGGGGGGGGAGAAGTTTAGAAAAGGACTTGCAATCGTGACAAGAACTCTGTGAAAGGAAAGGATGTGCATTGAGGAATACCATTGTATGCAGAGCTTTGGGGGGGGGAAGTTTAGAAAATGACTTGCAATCGTGACAAGAACTCTGTGAAAGGGAAGGTATGCATTGATGACTACTATTGCATGTAGGGCTTTGGGGGGGAAGTTTAGAAAATGACTTGCAATGGTGACAAGAACTCTATGCAAGGGAAGGATTTGCATTGAGGAATACATTTTACTTTTGGTGCAATGCGAGCTTTGTTTTGGGGTGACAGTTCTTTAGAAATGACGTGGAAATCCTTGATAAGAACTCTAGCAAGGGAAAGGAATGTGGACAGGGTGGAGTTGCTGAATCGGGACAGGGTGGAGTTGCTGAATCGGGAGAGGGGGGAGTTGCTGAATCGGGACAGGGTGGAGTTGCTGAATCGGGACCGGGTGGAGTTGCTGAATCGGGACCGGGTGGAGTTGCTGAATCGGGACAGGGTGGAGTTGCTGAATCGGGACAGGGTGGAGTTGCTGAATCGGGACAGGGTGGAGTTGCTGAATCGGGACAGGGTGGAGTTGCTGAATCGGGACAGGGTGGAGTTGCTGAATCGGGACAGGGTGGAGTTGCTGAATCGGGACAGGGTGGAGTTGCTGAATCGGGACAGGGTGGAGTTGCTGAATCGGAACAGGGTGGAGTTGCTGAATCGGGACAGGGTGGAGTTGCTGAATCGGGACAGGGTGGAGTTGCTGAATCGGGACAGGGTGGAGTTGCTGAATCGGGACAACCCGGAGTTTCTGAATCCTTGGAGTTGCTGAATCGGAGTTGCTGAATCGGGTAAAGTTTCTGAATCGTAATTTATTCATTAATCCAGGGTTGACATTAATGGGATTATAATGGGTTTCAGAAGTCATGGGGTATCCCCAAGTCACCATGGGGTGTCCCCGTTTTCCTGCGCCTCAAATCAAAGAGCCGCAGCACATCTCGAGGGTTTTTCGGCAACTGCTTGGGGTTTGTGCCTGTGGCCGCCACCTGCGCGAATGGAATGTCTCAGCGAAAACCATGGACGGCCGGAAAAGAATCAGGTCGTGTATGTTGTGTTTCTTCTTTTTTAAATCAACATATGGTACAAACCATACGTTTAGTATAGAATTTCTATAGAATCAACATATTTCTATAGAACCCCTCTAATCAACCTCACTGGTACAATCATTGGACTCCCAATCAATGATGTCCCGGAAAAAAACATCCAGATCTATCCAGATCTCCTCAATTAACCGATCGGAAAACCGGCTTTCCGAAATAGTACCTTAAAAAAACACATGGATGATACTATGATGATACAAAAAAAGTATCTGAGGCTCTTGGGACTTGCTTAAAGATTTTTCTGTGGGGGCATTGCTATTTTTTTTTGAGCAGTGTTCAAAAGCCCTTGTGTCATCAGTGTATCCCGGCGGGTTGATAGTTTCCAGCCCATGGATTATGATAATCTCCAATCTGCCAGGTAACATGACCATACAATAATGGTAACCATTCTGATGGGTTATATGTGGTAACATGTGGTAACCAATCTGCCAAGTATATGATCATATATGGATTATGATGATCAATACACTTCATGAACATAGCCGAAATAAAGCCACTTGGAGACGATTTCCCTTACGAACCATCATAGTAATTCAGCCAAACATACGTACCCTCTGGTAATTTAACATAGCTATTGAAGATGGTCATTTATAGTGGATTTACCCATTAAAAATGATTATTTTCCATTGTTTTTTGTATGTTTACCAGAGCGTACGTATGTTTTTCCACCAAACAAAATGTCAAAGAGTTGGACATCTGGAAATTCTATGAGGTAAATGGACATCTATCATCTCTACCATCCGAGAAACGCCCCTTTTAGGCATCCTTTGTTTGGGGTTTACTATCCATATAAGATATGGTTGGAGAAACAAAGTTTACTAACATCAATTCCAAATGATTTCACCATCATATTAATTAAATCTAAATATATCATATTACAATATATTACATATTACTAAGCATAAACTTCCTAAGCTTCTACATGGATGTCTTCCCCACGCCTCTGCACTGGTGGGGAATCCAGCTCTTACGGCTTGCGTCTCCAACATTGTCACGCCGATGGCGGATTCCAGTGCACCAACCTCGCGGTGCCGAGATGGAAAAGATGTCGACAACTACCCTCTGGTAAACTAACATAACTATGGAAAATCACCATTTTTAATAGGTAAACCATCTATAAATGGGTCATTTTCCATGGCTATGTTAAATAACCAGAGGGTATGTGCTGGTTGGTGGTTGATCTACCCCTCTGAAAAATATGAGTCAGTTGGGATGATGACATTCCCAATATATGGGACAATAAAAAATGTTCCAAACCACCAACCAGTGTGGAAAACTGGGAGAAACATCTGATTATCTGGGTCAATGTTCATATCTATCTGGGGTAAATGATTTCGTAATTCGCTCATCTGAAAAGAATAAGGTCATTTGGGGAAGATTCCCAACTCCTAACCATCATTTTTTTGTGGGTCGCGACGTGAGGTCGATGAAACGTATGGTTTTGTTGTGATGTAAATATATCTAAATTGCCTGTTGGGGGATATGATGATATGGTCATGAATCCTCTACGGATCTATACATGCATTATATGGAATTATATTATGGGATGGGTGGCCATGCCACACACACATATATATACATACATATATACACCATGTTTTGACCATGGCGCATATGGGTTATATGGGTCTGGCTTAAAAACGAAGCGTTACCGCCAAAGCTTATGGCAATTTCTTGAATGGGAAAGATGATGATCAACGATTTAGAATTAGATACAAATTTAGATAAGTTATTATGTTTGTAATATATCATTTGCGGGCATCCGACTCTGCGGCACATGGTACCTTCTGGCACCAATTTTCTCGTGAAATCTTCGGCAAAAACACTCATCGACAAAGGTTACCACAGTGGATTTAGAAGCAACAATGCCACTAACCAAGTAGAAACATCGTAAGCAATTCTACATATTCCTATATATTAATATATATATATTACTATGATGCTGATGAAGCCTCAACATTGTGTCGCCCAGTCCAGGCCAAGTAGCTATGCCTTCTAACTCGGGCACCCAATTCCTCAAGCGACTGCGGCGCCATTGTTCTGGTGCCCAGTGGTATTTCAGGACGTAGCAGTTCTGTAGACATCGCCGGGCCTGGATCGAAGAGCTACTTTTCGAAGGGCAACAAAAAACCGTTCCGATGTCGTGGACAAAATAAGTCAAGACTTATTTCAGCTGTTGAGTAAGCTGAAATCGGACTTTTTCGATGACTTTTCAGTAGATGTTCTTCATAATTTTTCATCTAATTGGCGGTTTCAATCCCTCTGAAGAATATGAGTCAGTTGGGATGATGACATTCCCAATATGATGGGAAAGTCATTCAAAATTCCATGGTTCCAGTCACCAACCCGTAACCAGTTCATAATTCTTCATAGCCTCATAGCCTGTTCATCCTGTTCTCTTCGTTGCATCTGCACCATCCCAGTTCAATCGCCACCTTGATGCAAGCCAACAGCGCTTCCCATGCTGATTGGCCTTGGGCTGCAAGATCTGGAGGCAGGGATTCCGAATCCCTGCCAGTCAACAAATGGTATCTCCGATGGCCCATGTTTACCATATAGAACTAATCATGTATAATCATATGCTAATATATATATATATATCCGTATTCTGGTTATTCTGGTTCGTATCTTCTGGTTACATCGTGCTTATTGTGGCAGGCATTTTCCACTTCAGGCATCCCATAGCCCATCGTCATTGCAGGATTGGGAATCGGATGGAATCGGCTATGGCTTGGGGCCCAATTGGAGAAACACCTGGGGTGAATCCCAAACTTAGGATAAGTGGACCACATGAAAAATCAGTTCCACTTCGATTTTCTGGTTGAAACAGTGTACTTGTTGGTTGTGACGTAATAAACAGCAGTAGTGTATGAACATCCTAATTTTAAAACCCGAATGAAGACTAATTACACAACCGTCTACTACGTCCCTCCTTGAAATTCCCTATTTTTTGGCTGGTTCAACCTCCAAAATCATGTAGAATAGGTAAAAACCATGTAAAGTAATCTTCCCCCCTCTCTCTCTCTCTCATCGCCATGATGTTAAATCCACATATATATATATATGTATTTAACTAGTAAAACCATGGGATAACACAACTAACCGCCCCAAAAAACATGTTGTTCCAAGGCTCGACCACCTCTCGACTCTTGGGAAATGGCCGACAGGAAAGAGGAATCGCCGTCTCCACGTGGCTCTTCGATGCTGATTCCCAGGTTGAACTCCTGAAAAGTTCATGGATCAACTTGGTCAAAACAATGGGGAGAAAACTCTGGAGAACTCTAAGAACAGAAATGAGTTCTTAGAACTCTAGAAATGGGAATTTTGATGGGGTGTACATATTGGGGTTTGAGATCTTTGGAAACTGACATGGAAGCGTGAGAATGATCTCGAGAAATGGGGATTCTTCTTGGTGAATGGAGATTTTGCAGGCGGAATCTTAGCCATCAACATGCAGGCGGCTACCCTCTGGTAAACCTACAAAAAGCTATGGAAAATCACAATTTTCAATGGGAAAACCCACTATTTCAATGGCCATTTTCAATAGCAAACTGTTAGTTTACCAGAGGCTATCTCCAACCCTGAGGATTTTACTGCACTGGAAATGTCTGGAGATGAACCCAAGGAATGCTCAGAAAAGCCAAATACTTGAATTTGCGACTCAAGACACCCCAGAAAATCTGAAACCTATTCCCTGTAGATTCCTCAAATGGTTTATTTATGTCAATTTTCCATTGGGGAAATTTGAAACATATTGAGAAATTCCAGGAATCTCATCCAGGGATGAAAAGAAATGAAGAGATCCGGGGCTTTAAAGCTATGTGGATTCATGGCGATGTGACAAGAATGATGATGGATATTTCTTGGATTTAACATGATTTCACCAGGAAACATGGTGAACAAACACTGGGATAATTACATGTAATTATTGATCATATCACCCCATATTGGGATATTGGGATGATAGGGCACCAAGAACTGGCTGATCATGGTGATCCAATTTGCCAAAACCGCTCCTCGGCCAGAGATAGCAAGGCCCTGAAAAGGAGTTTCCTTGGCGGACCGGCCACGTCCAAGAAGGACCCATGACACCGTGAGATCATGTCACAGACCCCCCTTGAAACGGCATAAGTCAGACATAGAAAAAGCATCAGTTGTTTCATGTTGTTCTTGTAACTTCCAAGATCTTGAAGATCTCAAACCAAACCATCTTAAAATGATTTAAGATTTACCCAAGTAAACCAAGTCCTTGAACAAAAACAACATGATTTACTCAAGGACAAACAACGCCTCTTCCCCCCAACGAAAGCATCAGAATCCCCTGTCATGATGTCAATTGGATTCAAGAGAACATCAAAAACAAACATGTTCTGATTCATGAAGCTCAAAGTATATTTCATAGAAAAAAAACGATGGTTTCCTGTAGATTTCCTGTAGATTTCCTGTAGATTTTCTTTTTAAATCAATGGATTGGTTTAAGGGACAATTTGCAGGAAAGCCTCAGATGTTATGGGAAAATCTATGGTTTCCTGTCGATTTTTGCCCCCAATGATGCCAGATTTTCCCCTAGATCTTCCGCCCCGGGGAAGTACCAAAGGTTCAAGCGTTCGGGCTGGCGCTCGCTGGCTGTCCAGCCTATGTCCCAAATGTCCCAGTCCCACATGAGGCTATAGATATATAAATATGTATGTAAATTATGACATTATGAATAAACACATGGAACTAAACATACATATTATATAATTATATTTATATATGTAACTTATAGATATGTTTAAAACTATACTACGATTAATTTTTATGTATACTGACCACATTTCCGTTTTGAGATAAATGGGTTACGTAGGGGTAATTAAACACTTAATAGTTGAGATTCATATCCAAGCATCAGAGGTTTCGTCGTTCTCATTGCTTTATGAGATTGGTCTTCTCATGAAGTATCATTGAGTAAAGATCATAAGTATCATTGATACTGGCAATATCAATACTCAATGAGTATCATTCTCATGAATGAGTATCATCTTCTATGCTCATTGAGTACCCTCTGGTAAGCTAACAGTTTGCGAACTGGAAAATAACCATCTAAATGTGCCATTTTCAATAGCAAACTGTTAAATTACCAGAGGGTACCCTCTGGTAAACTAACATAGCAATGGAAAATCACCATTTTTAATGGGAAAACTCACTATAAATGGCCATTTTCCATAGCTATGTTAAATTACCAGAGGGTATCATTTTCACTGCCTCTGCCAGTCATGGCTGCCCTCCACGATCGACTACGATCGTCCTCCATCACCCGGCCTGGCATCGCTTCACGTTGCAGCTTCCACCTCAGCGTGTTGGATCATGGATGCTACAGGATGCTACAGGTGAGCAGCCTGGAATGATCATCCCAAATAGGTTTGATAAGGTATATGAGCAGCAATTAAGACTTAAGTGCCATATTTTTAAGGTCCTTGAAACATCTTGAAACGCTGAGCGTGCTTTTCCACTTTTCCCACTTTTGCATATTTTTCTTCATGTCACCGCTGGTGAATGTATAAATTTCCAACTCTCAGCTTACCCTCAATCCAACATGGCAATTGAACATTCCCAAAATGGAGGTCGAGGTCTATAGCTGGGAAAATCCACCAAAAAAATGGTGGGCTTTTCCAGCAAGCCATGCTTGGGATTACCAGAGGGTAGGTTCCCAAAAACGAGGTGATGATGCATTCTTCACTTCGAGGAGTTTTGAGTGCATTTCACTTGATATTTAATTGATTGATAACAACACAGTTCAACGATGAAAGGCCTCCTTGCTAACGAGACATGTCACTGGAATATTTCAATGCGGAACAGTTAAGTCCTTGCAAATCATCTACAAATAAGGAAGGACACTCCAAGTAACATGCGTGACAATTATCAGTTTGAAGCCATCAGTCAGTGAAGTCTATTTCGACATGGGAATGCCTCAAACTCATCTACCATACTAAACATGACCAGCCCTTTGGGGATTTGGAGCTCCCACTACCAGGTACCCCATTTGGGCCGCGCCGTAGCATATTGGCTCTTACGTCCCCATCCGCTTGGCAAAAGCGTCAACTATTTTTTTCCGTTCAGGACCGGATGGGCTAAAACCTACCCCATGTTTTTTTTGGGGAATTTACACGGATGCACATCCAGCAGAATCCCAGCAGAATCCCAGTTTTCGTAACGCCATGCGACAACTTGCCATCTCTGTTGGCTCCCTGGGGAGCCTTCGGGCTGCCTTCTGTCATGTTTCCTTCCTCAGCTGGTGGATCATCGACCATCTCCCCTGGGATCAGCATGGATCAGCCAGTTTTGCCCATAAAAACTGACACACAACAAGCTCCAAAGATATGAAAACAATCAATGAGCATATAGACTTTGCATAGCTTGCATAGATGATGACTTTCTTCCTATTTTTTTGCCATGATTTTGATGTGAAGGGATGGCTCACTCTTGGCCCGGACTCGCCAGGCACAAGTCTGGCTGAACAATTCTTCAGGGAGTGATGATCCTCACCGGAAATAGATAGATTCATAGGGTGATACTGTGGATGGTTGCGAAATCATGCACCAGTTCAAAGGTGGTAAACATCCCATTATTTATAGGGTTTCAAACATTGAAAGTGGTGCAGGATTTCGCAACCACCCACCGTATTATGTGATATCCATATCAGTCGGACCATTTTAAAAGAAGTGCAATGAAGAACTAAGGAAGCTATGAAAGATCAGGACAGAAACAGTCATAAAATGTGGTTTCACATCTTTCACCATGAAAACCCCAAAGGTGATATCTTTTGTGAGAGAAAAAACTGCTCTTGGGGGATCCCTAATCGATGGAGCCCGAATCGGACAAGCTTCTGATGTCGGTAAGCGGCATTGATAGTAATCAAAGCCTGGCAGGCTTCGAATTGGATACATCAATGGATTGGTTTAAGGAAAAATCTGCAGGAAACCATGGTTTTTACCATTAAATATGGGGGTTTCCTGTAAAATTTCCGTTAAACCAATCCATTGAATACAGCATCTAAATCCGCCAAGAAAAATCCACCAAGCATGGTCGATTCCATGGAGGAAGACCACTCCAGCAGAAAGTTTCCAAAATCCATGGTTCACATCATTTTTTGTGGTGTTTTCCATGATTTTCACCTGGGATCTTCCGTGATTTCCCACGGAAAATGGAAGGGGCCTCCAGGTTGACCGCGATGGGGAGCCCAGTCTTGGCCGCACATGTAACCTCTGCGCGGTGCTGCGGCGAGGCCAGTTGGGGGTTTACAACTAGGTAATACATGAAACATCATAACTATAGATCAGTTAGACTACTAACTTGATTAGATTACATCATAGTCTTAGAGCCGATTATAGATATACTGAAGATGTAATCTAACTTACCACGATGGGGAGATACATCGAATATAGATAAACACATGTAAGATACTATACAATCTTACCATCTAACTGTATATCTAACATGTTCTATGATGATAACATGATACAAATGATGCACCATTAACATTAACTATTGACATCCCATTTATATCGTGATGTATCTAATCATATCTAAACCCTAGAGCTCTTGGATATATCTACCATATCTATAGATCTATCATGAACCCAAACGTTATTGGAGTTCTGTTCACCAACTTAGTGAGCGAGCGACGACAGGGTTCTGTCAGCTCAGAGAATGACATATTGACAGATTGGATCCATTGCACCTGGACAAGTTTTGAACATTGATATATATATATATATATGCATATGTATGTCTTACATATAGATATATAGTATCACCTGGAATCCGAAGAATGTCAAGAACTGCTGCACCACACCAGCCTTTGACAAACCAGTTTGCGGTTCCCTCAGTCTATCTGCGTAACTTTTCTGTTACCGACTGGTGGCATGGCAACGCGTCGCGTTGCAAGGGGAATTACATCCATTCATACATCAATGTGTGATCCTTAGAGTTTGAGTTTTCCATTCCCATCATTTGCCATAGGAGTTCACCAAGTACCAGCCATGTAGCATGATCACCCGAAGAACGGAGAACAAACATGAACGTTTACCGTTTTCCAGTTGAGCCAAGCGACAGAAGTGTCGACCGCACACACTACAAATCCTCAAGAGCATGGGTTTTGCGAATTCCTCCAATGACTGTTGGCGTTCCAGAATTTGACTTAAAATGTCCTGGTGAATCACATGCAACAGATTTTAAATTTGCATAACACGAAAGACACGTCGCAGCCAAGTCACATGTGGTTGCAGCCACCGCTTCTTTGGATGATTGCACCACATGTGCACGTCTTTGAGTTTTTGGCCAGCCACTTGTTCGTCTCCTCGTTGGATGCTGTCACTGCAAGTGAAATTGGGCGGCCTTGTGATATTGGGTTGACAGCATAAAAACGTTTGGAAAAACACATGCATTCAAACAGTAGCATAAAATTACTTTGGTGCCCAAACTCCACACATGAACCAACATCCTCAACAATTGCCCCCCAAGTTTTATGTGCATCCCAATTGCTAAACAGAAACCCTCAAAGATGAGTAGTAGCTAATACTTCTTTGGCCACCGGATTTTAAAACACAATCAATCAAGTTCAATCAAGGCCTAAAAATCAAGAACTTCCACTAGTGACATGTAGTTGTCTAATATGTTGTCATGGTTTCTGAAGGTATATGCCCCAACCCTCCTCAAGGGTAAACTTGGCAAAGACACAAAGAACCGTATTATACAGTTGGTTGAGTTCTTGCTGCGTGTACATTGTCTCGGCAAGCAAGGCTCTTGCTATTTCCCGCATCTGAATTTTCCGACATCTGATAGGATTTTTCCTTTCTCATCATAAATGGAGGTTTCCTAAAATGGGGGTACCCCCAAATCATCCAAAATTGGACAACTTTAGTATTGAAACCCATGGTTCTGGGGATCCTTCATTTTAAGAAATGGTGAGGCCAGTTGAGCGGTGTCGAAAGCCGGGTAGCAAAGTGGTTCTAATACCCATAAGCTTTGGCGACGGCTTTCGCGGTTCTTTCGTGCGCTCAGTTTTTGCTTTTGCGGCTACATGGGTCTCGAAATATCTTTTGCGGTTGCTTTCGTAGAAAATGGTCGGTAAAATGATGCGTTTCACATGAATCTTTCAATGCGTTTCTACTACGTACATCTACCTACCTGCTTTCTCCACCGCTTTCGCGGCTCAACCTTGACGCCTTTCGTGGAGTTTTGCGCAGGGGGTTCCCCCTGCAGAACCTCAAGACCTGGAAAAAAAATCCAGCGCCTCAGATTCCCAGACTAATGGCTGAACTGGAAATATCACTGCTGCATGGACTTAATAGAAAAGGGCAAATTGAACTGATTCCCTCAACATAGTCAACAAATATCAATTCATTCATGTGATGAACTATAGACAACTAATTATTAATTATAATCATTACTATCATTTTTTCGGTTCTATAAATCACCTAACATTCTCATTATCATCTCACATGTGAATGGCGTATGACTATGGTTACTAATTATCAATCATCATCATTGTTATAATCATGGCTGCTAGATGGTTACTGATAAATCGTACTATAATCATGATGGTAAAACTTAAATTTATAGTAACCGTATACAAAATGTAACCATGATTTAGTACATTTTGTGGTTTGGCAATCGCCAACTCACAAGGATCGTTGGTGGTTGAGCTACCCCTCTGAAAAATATGAGTGAAAGTCAGTTGGGATGATGAAATTCCCAATATATGGGAAAATGTTCCAAGCCACCAGCCAGTTATTTAGTACTATATAGTAACCAGATATAGTAACCATACTAATTAATATAGTAGCATTTTTCATATTAACATATAGTAACATATAGTAATCATCATTCAGTACTATATAATGTCAACCCGGGATTAATAAACCATGGTTTAATAATTAGGGGGATGCTCCTCCAATAGTCATCATCTGATACTTTTTTATGGTACCCTCCCACTTAAACAGCGGTTTGGGGTTTATTAATCCAGGGTTGACATTACTAACCATATATAGTAACATATAGTAACCATATTTACTTGGTGGCTCATCCCACGTAGTAAGTGGGTTATAACCACAGTTATAAGTGGATTAATCCTACTTATCCCATTTATAACTGGGGTTATAACCCATTTACTAAGTGGGATGAGCCACCAAGTAGTACCATGATTCTTCGACAGCATTTTTCAGGATCATTCCGGCCCAGTCACGTCTTGCATCTGCCGCCGAACCACCGCCAAATCTTTCAGAAAGTCTGCGAAAGCTTGGCAGGGAGCCTTGCCGTCGTCCCAAGGGACCAAGGCTTTGAAGAACGACATAAAATCAATGTGCAGTGAAATGTGAGACTTATAATATATTATTAATATATATATATATATATTATAATATATTATTAATATATATATATTATAATATATTATTAATATATATATTATAATATATATATAATATAATATATATGGTGTATGGTGTACTATATGGTCTTCCACATGGGCTCATCAAACAACATGTCATCCCCACTTCGGGTTTCACCGAGGCGCTGGTTCGTGTCCTGTGAGGTGCTTACAGGCGAAGCAAAAGGTGCAACCACAGGTGCAGACCACGGTGGTGGCCGTGCTGCTTTTCTCGCTCCGTTCCTGGAGAAAGGCGCAGGGGGAACTGGGAACATCATGGGAAAACATGGGAAAAAACATGGGACAATCATGGGAAGATGGTGAGCTTCAAACAGAGAAAAAACTGATCGACACGTTGGCTTTTGTTTCGCAAGAGTGGATTGATTGGGTTTTAAGAGTAACAAAAAACGGGTTGGATTCACCAATAAGAAAATTGTGATTTCACCAACAAATGACTGGTTGGTGGTTTCAGCCCCTCTGAAAAATATTAGTCAATGGGAAAGATTATCCCATATATTATGGAAGATAAAACATGTTCCAAACCACCAACCAGATTGTCAAAGTCCATGGAAATCCATCTGTTTTTACAGGTTGGATTCTCCCGGGGACTCCTGTACCAATGGAGCTACACTTTTCTCAATCTTTGGTGGATCTACGGGCTAGGTGATGTCCCGTTTTAACCAATGAACTAATGATATATTGCTTGGGGAACCCCCCCAAAAATAGAGTAAACACGTATCCAGGTACATAGATCAATCAACCCACTGATTGTTCCTCCATTAAGCTAGTTGATGGTCAAATCCTGTTATATTAAAAAATATTAAAAGAAAAGATCCCGGCACATAGATATACATAGCTGGTTGGTGGTTTCAACCCCTCTGAAAAAATATTAGTCAGTTGGGATGATGACATTCCCAACTGAATGGAACAATAAAGAAATGTTCCAAACCACCAACCAGATAGACATACCCTCTGTTAAACTAACATAACTATGGAAAACCACCATTTTTAATGGGCAAATCAACTATTTATAAATGGCCATTTTTCATAGCTATGTTAAATTACCAGAGGGTACAGAGCAATACCTAGCCCGCTGCCTACCACATGACCCACATGTCCCGTCTCCTGATTGGGGTACGACACCACCCGGCCACAGCCAGGCGATGGACACCAGGCCTTGGGTGAAAGTCGTCGATTCGGAGACAAAATATGGGAAAGCAATGAGCAGAGACACTCGTGAGCCCAGTGAACTATAGTCTATAATTATATGCTGGTTGGTGGTTATAACATGTTTTAACCATCTTGAAGAATATGAAAGTCAATGGACCATTTATAGTGGATTTACCCAGTGAAAATGGTGATTTTCCATAGTTATGTTAATTTACCAGAGGCTATCCATAACTATTCATCTGGTAAATTACTATCTGGTTGGTGGTTTGTTTTAACCATCTTGAAAAATATGAGTTCGTCAATGGGAAGGATGACGTCCCATATGTTGTGGAAGAAAAAAATGTTTGAAACCACCAACCAGTACATGCACACACACACACATATATATTATAGCTATGTATCTATCCTTATAAATGATATTTAAACCAACGTTCGATCAGGTTTTAGTCATGTTTCTACGATTTTTGTTTTCTCCTTCAATCGTTTTCCAGCCATCACTGGTGCCCTCGTATGGAGTACGGGCGTCTTTCTCCTTCCCGCAGTAAGCCGAGATTCTCCAGCTCCATATTTTGCAAACAACATGTGAAAACATGTTACCCTCTGGTAAACTAACATAGCTATTGAACATGGCAATTTATAGTGGAATTACCCATTAAAAATGGTGATTTTCCATAGTTAATTACGTTAGTTTACCAGAGGGTAAAAAACAGATTTTCCAACATCTCAAACATTCTCAAACCAATCCAGTAAATCAACCCAACACTTTCACATCTTTCATCACTGGCTAACTTTCGAAAGGGTCGGAGTTCTGAGCGTCGCGCCATATTTTTGCTCATATCGACCTTTGTCAGGAGGATTGGCGTTTGCCAGGAGCTTGCGACGAAACATCCTTTGGTAAAATCGGCTTTGCCGGAAAAAAAACCATTCAGATCCATTTAGTCTGATTGTCCCATGGTTTTGCGCCTTTGATTGGGGATTTCCCAACCACGTTTGAGTGAAAGTAAAAATGAGCCAAGTTTGATTGGAAATATGGAAGATCTATGGACACGTTTTTTTCTTCTTGGAGACCTCCTAAACGATGACAATGATGGGACGGGAGCGGAAATGTCCTTGATGCTGCAGGCCCAAGTGACGAATTTCAATGTCTTGAGCTGTTCATATTTGGCTTGCTCCTTAGAATCCAGCGACTTGATTGACTTGCTCCTTGCTGAAACATCCCTGCTGCATCTTGGGCGCCAAGATGTGCTGCATGCCCGTGTATTTTCCCGTGTTTTGACCATGCTTTCCCATGCCTAATGACATTTCTACTGACTTGCTATTCATTCTTCAATACCAACAAGAATTCAACTGAGGAAAATTCGGTGTGTGGCAACTCTCCTCGTAAGTGTCATCTTAATATCTCTTAATTCGGAAAGCACTTTCTGAACATCAAAAAAAAGGTGGTTATGCCATCCGAAATTGCAATTAAATCTATCTTTTATAGATGGGAAACATGAAGAAAACATGTGTGTTTTTTTTTCAAAATTGAGGTTTCCTAAAATGGGGGTACCCCCAAATCATCCAAAATTAGACACTTTTCAAATAGCCAACTGCCAGTCCTTTTCGCATCGCATCCATCTTCTTTTGTCCTCTCAACCATCCTTTTCTGCCAAGCATCAGCACTTTCAGCACCAAAGATGCGTTTCAACATGTCTTCGCTGATGGGTAAGCGACAGTTTGGCTCAGGACAAGCAATGCCGGTCACATCGCCTTCATCGAGGCGGACCTGACAGATGCGCAGGATGATTTTCTACCAGGAACCAACAAAGGTGACGATGGTTCACGATGGTTAGTACGATGGTAAGTACTATATATAAAGCTTAGGTAACTATGGCTAACTTTGGTTAACTACGGGTAAATATGGTTAATTAACTTGGTTAACTGGTGGTCCATGGTTCACTGGATGTAACTGGTGAGTCGGTAAGCCTGGTGAGTCGGTATCCCCCTAGGCGATCCGGAGCCTCCAAGCAGGAGAACTGGATGAAACCAGCATGTTCAACCAATGGAATGGCCAAGTTTCCCATCATTTCAGCCTTATGGATATATCTATACCTATATCTATATATATATATATATCTATGGATCATCCAACTTCATAGCATTTTCTGGAGATATCAGCCCTTTTTTTTGGCCGCAAAGCCTGGCCATCCTGGGCATCCAGGAGCCATCCTGGCCTTGATGTGCATGGACATACAGTTGTCACAGACCACATGTTTGCAGAGAAAGAGTTTACACGCAGACTCAGCCAAGTCCACTTCATCGAAGCAAACGATACCTAGTAGCGGCTGCAAGGCATGAAAAATCCCTAGGTCGGGATGACAAAGCACCGGATGATGAAAGTCGTTATCACAGGAACAGTAGCTAGGTTTACATGTAACATGTTCACTGGATGATTAGAGAGGATAGATTGGTAGCTCTCTTTGTCAAATCTTTGTCATATGGATCTCAAACACCTATTGAGATAGATAGCTTTAGCATAATTTCGCTGGCCTTTACTAGTACCCGAGCCCGTTCCCGCCGCCATTTCCGTCATCCCATTACTGGTATTGCAGACCCCCACCAGATTTCTTGGTGATGTACGACAACCGCAAAAAAAATCACCAGGGAACATCACCAAACAAAAAAACATCCGGTAAAGCAACATAGCTATGGAACATCAGCATTTTTCATACGTGGCTTTCAACTGTGAAGCCATGGCCTGGAGGCTGGAAAATCCACCATTGATGATATTTTTCCCAGCCATAAATCAATGGCCATGCTGGCCAGGAACCGATTGATTGGAGGTACCGATTCCATATGTAAGGCCTATGTTTCAGGCCTTAATTTCAGGGGATATACCCGCAAAATATGGCCGAACATATGGTACAGTACCTCCATTTTAGGATCCTGAAATTCCGATTGAATAAGCCATGGCTAAAACCTCCATTTAGATCTCGGGGATTTTCTAAACAGCAGAGGCACAAAGGGAAGGCGCTACTTCCTGGAGCCTGGGACACTGGGACATGTCCGGACACACTTCTGGTCGCAATTACCCTCCAGTTAACAACACTTTGCCATGGAAAACACCCCATGTTTCATAGGTACATAATCTATACATAGTTGATTTTTCATAGCTATCTTTAATTACCGCAGGGTATGTGGAACAAGTACTAAACCAGGGTTTCGTTTGGAGGTGTTTAGAATAAGAAATGAATGGGGGAAGGGATGAACATGAAGAAACAAACATCTGGAAAAATGATCAGAATTAGCACATGTTTTGAATAATCATGCGGACAAATCAACAAAATAGACAGAAATTTATCCATGAAATGAACACCAATAAATATATCCTGAATCTCTCCTTGAAACATCAATACATGAACAACATATCCCCTATAGATTCCCCAAGTAGTGGAGTTTCCATCGGAAAAAAATCATCAGCGCAAGTTTCGAGGGGCTGATGTTTTTGTTCCCCAAACATATTCATTTTTTAGCTTGGAAAGGTGATGATAAGCCATTGGAACATTTTTTTTGAACTTGTGACAACTTGGTAACTTGGGGGATGGAACCTCAACTGCAAGCTGTTTGGTTGGAACCTCAACTGGTTGGTCGTATACCTACCCCTCTGAAAAATGATGGAGTTCGTCAGTTGGGATGATTATTCCATTCCCAACTGAATGGAAAGTCATAAAATTCCATGCTTCCAAACCACCAACCAGCTCATATATAATGGGAAAATCTATGGTTTCCTGTAGGTTTTTCCCTTCCACCAATCCATTGATTAAACCAATGATGGTTGCACCGGCTGAGGTTCCGTAGGCCCCCCGGCTGGCCATTTATCGTTCCGCCATCGTTCGCATCGTCCAAGCGAATCGTTGAGGGCGATGCGGCATCGGCCAGGCGAAGGTCCAAACCTTTCAACCTGAGATATGGGGATGGGTCAAAACCCTGGTACCTAGTGAACCCCAAAATAGCTGGTAAATGGATGATCATCCCACTAAAAATGTATCTATAGGTATTGACCCATACCCATATGCTGAGAACCCCTGGACCAATGGAGCTGGGAATGCTGATGGCTGATGGTTACCCGGCCTGGTAAACATACCAGAGAAGCCAAGCTAAGCCATGGCCATAGAAATAGTTTGATTTACCTAGTAAAAATGGTGATTTCCCATAGTTGTGTAAACGTTTACCGGAGGGTATTTTTTTGGCATTTTCCCAACAGATCCACGAGAAAGATGGGAATCTATAGGGAATACCCTCCACGAATCATGGCATGGCACTTGGACATCCAGCACGTTCCAGCCACGCGTGATGACCAGTAGATGGAAATCATATCGTTGGGACTCACGTTATTTTACGATTTTTACTCGATTTTGGCTGTATGTTTTTCCGCTTCTGTTGCTGTTTCAGCTTCGGTGAAGCATGATGACACGAAGGTTTTCTGGATTTATCGGATAAACTATGAGAAAATCTGGCTGGCAGAGCTGACAGAAATGGGGATGGAATGATAAGTGGGATACAATGACCTCCACAAAATAGAATGACCCAAGCAACTACATCCCGATTTGATGGGTTCTTGGATTCTTGGATCTCACCATAGTTCTGCATACCCATTCTTGCAACCCCCATTATGTGGTATTGAGTATATCCCAATCCGTTCCTACCTTATACTAGTGGGTGAAATCAAATTCATAACTAATATTCTTCCATTTAAATACCTATATCCCCGTGCCCATTTACTCAATCACCATATCATGATATGATTATGGAGTTTCACTTGACCAACTATAAGTATGGAAAACTACATTTTTTATACGTAAATCAACTAGAAATGAACATGTCCAATAGCTTTACCAGACTGTTTACCAGAGGGTAAGTTATAAAACCATTCAATGAGGTAAACCTGCCTTAAACCATCATTAATTTTATTAATTGGGCTTTGTGACTGAGATGATGTCTATCATGATGTCCCTTTAAAGTTGGTTTAATGGAAAGGTGAAATTGGCAGCCAGGGTCTAATGTAGTAATGTGGGTAAAACAATTAGAAAAACAATCCCCCAGTCATCACCATTTTTATAGGTGGTATACAGAAACCATTCCCACATGGGTGATTTATAACATTGTTTTACCATGTTTTACCCACATGAAATGTCGCTAAAAAACCCTCTCCACAAAGCCGAATTATCAAAGGCTAAACTTTAACTGGTTGGTGGTTGAGCCACCCCTCTGAACAATATGAGTTCGTCAGTTGGGATGACATTCCCAACTGAATGGAAAACATGTATAAACATGTTCCAAACCACCAACCAGTATGTCATGGGTGGTAAGTCTGGTAAAATCTGGTACCCTCTGGTTATTTCACATAGCCATGGAAAATCACCATTTTTAATAGGTAAACCCAGGTAAACCATCTATAAATGGGCCATCCTCAACTGCTAGGTCTTTAATGCCACGTGACCCGGCCGCATCCAATGCGTCTCTGGGAGATTTGCGAAAGGCAACGGCTGCAGCCTGGGAGCGGGGTGAAAAACACCACAAAATCCCATGATTTTTGTTGGGATTTGTCATGGGACATGGGAAAATATGGGAAAATGATGCTTAAACCTATCCAAATGATGAAACATGCAGAAACATGCAGAAAAATGAGGAACCATGAGGAAACAACCTGATTTCTTCCAATCTCCATCTGCTTTTTATACCACGAGCCGCTTGTCACATCTCACCTATGCATCAAAAACAGTGAGCTGCCGGGCACGGCTTTGCTGCTAGTAGCTTAGCAGCTAGGCTTCATCTGCCTCTCTCAAGTGTTCTTGGCCAATCATCTTGGCATCTCGATACATCGATGTGTCGAGAGACACATCTTGGCCTCATCGTTTGGCCAAACGGGCATTGATCATGGCCTGGAGATCAGTCTTGTTGGCATCCTTCACTTTCGCCTTCATCTTGTTGCGCTCGATCAAGTCATCCTGTGCTCGTTTCACAATCTCCTGAGCCTCAGCGATCTCCTTCTCGGTGGCTGGAGGTGGTAAGGGGGGATCACTTCCTTCACTGGCATTGTCATTGGGAGGAGGCTCGTCCATCTCGGCCATTTCTGCCCTCATCTTCTCATCATCAAGTTGCTGCATGGCAATGGCATCCTGGATTTCCGCGAGTTCAGGGTCTTCATCCTCCCCTCCGAACCACTTGCCGCCAGGGCCAGGTTGGCTGCCTGTGCCGCCTGTTGGGCCTCCTTGACCTTGGGGCACGTCATGAGAAAATGCACAGGTGGTCCCACGCGTGCAGTTGCCCTGCAGGTAGAACTTGCAAGGGATGCTGCCCTTGCCACCTCCCTTGCTCTCTTTGCCACCACCTTTGCCACCAAAGCCATAACCATCATAGCCTCCACCTCCATAACTGTAGTCACCGAAGTTGCCTCCACCACCACCACCACCAAACCATCCGCCCTGGCCCTTCATCGAGACAACAACTACGACTTCTGCAAGGCCTCGAGGTAGTAGCTCAAACGCCCATCAGAGTCTGAACCTACGACCCTGAAATTCCAAGAAGGATGCTTTACTGGAGGCACTAGTGGTGGCTTGTGATGAGTCTCAATGTGATGCAAAATCAGTTGTTTCGCTTTTTGTTGTGGAAACTGCATGAATGCTGGGCAACTTGTGCTGTCATGTCTGGCTCCTGCCATCATCCTTGAGTGCTTCGACATGCTGGCGAGAGCGATGCAACTGGATGTGGCCGAGAGCATGACACAAAACATTCAAATTGTAAATCTGCACTTAAATAATCTTAAATATCTTTAGTACTGAAGTGTACTGAACAAGGCTCATTCAAAGGCATGCTGCTCAAACTACCTCTCTGGCACCATTTTTTAACCTCGGCCAAATGGAGAAAGTGATGAGAATCCAAATCCATCGGATTTTCAGGAGTACCCTCTGGTAAACTAACATAGCTATGGAAAATCACCATTTTTAATGGGTAAATCCACTATAAATGGACATTTTCAATAGCTGTTTACCAGAGGGTACCTTCTTTCCAAACCTGAGAAATGTGGTACCCTTCTGCCGCAAGCTCCTGCACATCAAATTCGTGGCTCCGTAGCAAGGCTTCGGCCGCATTGCGCGGTACAAGCTGCGCGCTTCCGCTGGCGAAGATCAGACCTCAAGACTGGTTCGTAGCGGAAGTATCAACGTGTTGCACAAAAAAACGGAATTGAATGGGTTTTTAACGGGATTTATGGGGTTTAATGGGATTTGAATTTGAATTATAGGGATATAATGGGATTATGGTGGGAAATGATGAGATATACCCTCTGGTAAACTAACGTAGCTATGGAAAATCAGCCTTTTAACTTTGCAAATGTGTGTAAATCATCGAACTAAATAGGCGATTTTCCGCAGCTACGTGTTGTGTATCCATAAGCATAATAATATGGATGATATATGTATATCATTACTAGACCTGCAAACATTATCCATAGGTTTATCCAAATTATCATCCATATATATCATTAATCCCATCCCCCTAATATTAAACACCCCCGAAATGGTCCTAACTAAGTGGAATTTCCATGAATTTTTTAAAAAATCATTTGGGGCTGTTTCATGTGAATGGGGGACGGGACGAAATGGATCCCCACATGCCCTCTGGTAATTTAACAGTTTGCTATCGAAAATGTCCATTTATAGTTGATTTTCCCATTACAAATGGTGATTTTCCATAGTTATGTTAGTTCATGCTTGGTGAAGTCACCCTTTCGTCAGCCTCACTGTGCGCGAAAATAATACCACCACTTCCGACCACTTCAAAGATGTTCCTGTGGATATTCCACGATCTTCCCATTCGCCTCTACTAAACATACAAAAAACACATGGAAAATCACCATTTGTCATAGGTAAATCAACGAACTTTCTATGGCCATGGCTTCAATAGCAAACCGTGAATTTACAGGGTACACCATTTGTCATAGGCAAATCAACGAACTTTCTATGGCGGCTTCAATAGCTTTTTATATGCTGGTTGGTGGTTTTTAGCCACCCCTCTGAAAAATGATGGAGTTCGTCAGTTGGGATGATTATTCCATTCCCAACTTTTCATGGAAAACATGTTCCAAACCACCAACCGTGGTATGTTTATCAGAGGGGTTAAAGCTCCATTTCCCATGAGAGGATTTTCGCCATCGCCAAGCAGCCACAGAGACTCTGAAGTTGTCGAATCCTCGGACCAGTCGATCAAAACGATGGGAAAATCTTCACCGGAGACCATCGAGATTTTCCCATGAGTAAGTCATGGGGCTTTCCGGTGTCAATTTTTCCGTAAAAATCAATCCATTGAAAATAGCTGGTTGATGGATGTTTAGATTGTTTGGTACAAACATATTCTTCAGAGGGACTCCAAAGCATGATTGATCCTGGTTCAAAATCTCTAAGGTGGTTGGAAATGGTCAGACTCTCAAAAAATACCCTCTGGTAATTTAACATAGCTATTGAAAATGACCATTTATAGTGGATTTTCCCATTGAAAATGGTGATTTTCCATAGTTATGTTAGTTTACCAGAGGGTACATGCCCTGTAGGGAAGTTCCACCCACCATTGTTCTATGCATCGATGAATTTGTGGATATCATCTGTTGAATCTATTCAAGTGCGGGGTGAAAGTCATCATTTGAAAGGAACAACCAACCATATCCTAGATCAGTCATCCAGTGAACTTAAAAGACGTCTCATTGTAGTCTCATTATAGTCCCATTACCCTCTGGTAAACTAACATAGCTATGGAAAATTGCCATTTATAGTGGATTTACCCATTGAAAATGGTGATTTCCCATAGCTTTTTGCAGGATTACCAGAGGGTATAGTTGATAGTCCCATTGTAGTCCCATTATAATCCCATTATTGTCCCATAGTCTCGTTATTGTCCCATTAATATCACATTATTCATGTGGAGGTTTCCTAGAATAGGGGTACCCCCAGTTCTCATCAATTTTAGTAGTATTTTCCATGACATAAACCATCCAGCTATTGGGGTACCACCATTCCAGGAACCCCCATGTCCCTGAATGTCCCATTATTCATGTCCCATTAGTCCCATTAATGTAGTTAAAACAATAATAAACAACCCATTTGGGAATGGTTTATACCCACCATTTATGGTGATTTGGAGGATGGTTTATAATTGTTTTACCCACATTACTACATTAAACCCTGGCTGCCAATTTCACCCTTCCATTAACCAACCTTAAAAGGGCCATCATGATAGACATCATCTCAGTCACAAAATTGTGCATACACAATTTCAATCAATTTCATAAAGCCCTTTTTTTCTGAATGGTTTAAGGCAGGTTTACCTCATGAATGTCCCAGCCAAGAAGCTGTTGATCCAAGTGTGACAGCAACTGATTGGCATCTTCATGAATCAGCAGCTTGGCTTTCTGCTGTCCCGCTCGCGGCCTGGCGTTCGGACCCGTTGGGAGGCCAAACCCCAAAAATCGTGACGTAGTACAATCCTCTAACAAAAACCTGAGACATCTACTTGGAAGCGCAGTTCCAGTTATAAGTAGATAAGTAGATAAGTAGATAAGTAGGTAGATAGATAGATAGTAAGATACGATAAGATACGATACGATACGATAAGATAGGTAGATAGGTAGATAGATAGAAAGATAAGATAAAGTAATATAAGACAAGACAGAAGAAGAGAAGATAAGATAAGATAGGTAGATAGATAGTAAGATAGGAAACAATAATATAATATAATAAAATACATAGATAGATCGATCCATCGATAGATCTATTTATATTTGCATTTATATTTACACAAACACACACACATATATATATATATGTATCCCAACAGAATGTATATGTAATATATAAATAACGATAGTTACAGAATGTTACAGGGCTTATATCCCAACTTCAGGGGCTCGTTCGTTCGCCATTTCCGACCCAAAAAATCTGGCCCGAAATCTGCCGGGCGTCGGTTCCGGGCTCATTTGACCCAATGCTCCAGAGAGGCATTCCCGCAGCGCTTGACGCTGCTGGGGGAGTTTCCTGGCACACAGAATCCATTGGGAGAACTGGGGATGTTCACTACCTATGATAATTGAAGATCATTAGGGATTCCGTGTGATCTACCTTGAAATGAGTATCATTAGGGATTCAATGTGATTAATAGATTGACAATCAATGTCATTTGATTTAGGCTGAGACTTTTTTAGGGCCTTTATCCCGTCTTTGGCATCTTCCTGTTGCAATTAGAGTTCCTTAAGGAGTGACACCATCTGTAATTAGGAATAATTCAGGACATGCCCTCTGGCAATTTTCCATATAGCTATGGAAAATGATGGAAAATCACCATATTCACTGAGTTCATCGTAGTCCATAATTTGGGCCATTTTCAATAGCAACCTGTGAAATTCTAGAGGATACCTTTCAAATCATTGGTTTCCAACAAACATAAAGTGATCTTGCGGATGATCTTTCAGCTGAGTGGCAGCAAACCCTGCCAGTGACCATACTCACCAGCCAATATGCTCGCAGAAGTCACTTGTCCATTCCTCAACGCTGCCTCAGGCGCCGAACATTTTAAAATCGCAGCAAGTTAATTGTCGAAATTGGTGAAGAACTTATTATGTAATATCTACTAATGACAACAAGAAAAACAAAATTGTTCTCACTCTCGTGTCTATTGATTGTGATAGCAGCTATTCTTATCACCATTATCAGCATCATTGTTCATGTCATTCGTCATATTATTAACCATATACAATCATGGGATAGCCTCGGGATAGCTGATACATATTTTGATGCATGAGATACCCTCTGGTAATCAAAGTTGGCAATGGAACATCCCCGAGTTATCTGGTTGGTGGAGCCACCCCTCTGAAAATTCTGAAAGTCAATGGGAAGGATGACATCCCACATATTATGGCAAAAAACATGTTTGAAACCACCAGCCAGTTATAGATGATTTTCGCATTTATATATGACATTTCTTTGGGTTTTTGAGCTAGCCACGGTTGTTACCGGAGGGCCTGTTTATAAAGAATGGGGAATCCCCAAAACCGGGTTTCAATTCAACACTATAGTTTAATGGCTTGGATGACTTGGGGGTACCCCCCCCCATTTTAGGAACCTCGATTAAGTAGTTGATACATATATGATATATGATATACTAAAAAATGTACCAATATGGCATATATATATATATTCCTAATTCCAGAGGGGTAAATAATATATAAAAACTACTATAACAACAATGCGTGTTATACATATATGGTTGAGCTTATATCATGTATGTGTATGTGATTGAAAATTCACGATTCAGCGTGATACTCACATCAAATATCCCATTATATCATTATAATAATATTCCCACTCATGTTCCCACTGGGCTGATAGCAAACATGAAACCTCGAGTCTTTCCGTGAAAAAATGGGGCGTGGCATTGCGATACTTGCGAGACGTATCACTCTTTCGAATGTTCCCACTAATGTGGGTAGAACAATAAGAAACCATCACCCACATCACCATAAGTAGGTGGCATAAACCATTCCCAAATGGGTGCTTTATGACAGTGGTTTACCTACATTAATCTGTGTCACTACCCTCTGGTAAACGAACATAACTATGGAAAATCACAATTTTTAAAGGGTAAATCAACGAACTAAATAGGCAATTTTCATCCATTTTCAGTAGCAAACTGTTAGTTTACCAGAGGTTAACCCCCATGAATACTATAGTATAAGTATAACAGCAAGATATCCCAAATTAAATCCCAATTATAGTTATAATACTATAGTTATATCCCAATCAAACCCTAAGATACCCCAAGTTAACCAAGCAAGTCATGTTTCCCTGGCCTCGCAGGGGGAGTCGCCATTGACATCTTCGGCCATGAGCATCTCTCCTCGAGCCTCGGATCGGGGCATATCGGGGCGGCAGATGGAGAGATAGCTACGATTTCTGCCCTAATATGGTTCTTACCCTCTGGTTATGTCAAAATAGCTATTGAAAATGGCCATTTATATTGGATTTTCCCATTAAAAATGGTGGATCTTTCCATAGCTACGTTAAATTACCAGAGGGTATGTTGTTTTTAATATGGAGAAATAGCAGGTATCTCTCCATATTAGATCCTGGTTGGTGGTTGACCTATCCCTCTGAAAAATATGAGTCAGTTGGGATCATGAAACTCCCAACTGAATCGAACAATAAAATTCATCTTCCAAACCACCAACCAGCATCCAACTTGGCTGGGCAATTTCCCATCTCTCTTCGTTGATTTTCCAGCCACGTTTGATGACAAAGGGCATTCCCCTAAAGAGTCCCTATTTCTGATGGATTTCCCTATCTTTGTTGGATAAATATGCTGGAAATTTAGTGGTATGTCAAATCACTTTTTTCATTGTTTAAGGTTTTTGGATGGCAATGTCTTTTTCAACCAAATTGCAATGGAACTATCCCACTTTCAATGGGTAAACTATCACCAAGGAAGAGCAAAGTAGACAGTATTCATCCCCAAAATGGCAAGATTTTATGGCCGCAGCCAAGCCAGAACATCCTAAGACAGGAGATAGTATAACACTAAAAGCCACCAGAATCCACCACATTGAATTTCTATACCATCCATAGAAAGTCATCCTGAAGTAGATGGAATATGGATCTTTCGAAACATCACCAACAAAATGGAAATACGTTGATAAGTTTGAAAATTCCAGTTGCTTCAGGATGGTATTTAAATATATAATATACTATCCATATATTGGGGAAAATTGTAATAATTCACTGCCCTGAAATGAGGACATCTTGTAATAGTTACCACAATCCTAATCAACATTCCAGTGAGGTCGCAGTGAAGTCGTTTTAATTTATCCAAATATTATCCATGTATTATCCATATACCGCACATATCATTAATTGTATATGGCTGGCTAGTATATGATCTGAGTATGTGGATAATATAACATATCAATCCATATCATATCACATACATTTAATCTATGGAAAATACCCTCTGGTAAACTAACATAACTATGGAACATCACCATGCTATTAATGGGTAAACCCACGAACTAAATTTTAATTTTCAATAGCTATTTGTATGTTTACCAGAGGTTAACCCCCATGAATACTATAGTATAAGTATAACAATAAGATATCCCAAATTAAATCCCAATTATAGTTAGAATACTATAGTTATATCCCAATTATAGTTATATCATGTTATATCTATGGAAAATATATCGAACACGTTCCGCTTCCCACATTTGTGGCAGAAGCGGCCTGTGTGCGTCCAAGGCGCGTGGTCTTCAAGGTCATGGGCGCCGACAGGAGCTGTTGGGGCCAGAAAGATCAAGAGCTCCTGGGAAAAAATGTGGCGATCCAAGACATGTTTAGAAGAATCTGTTGAACATCCCTTGAAGCACAAGAATTTCTATGGGAAAATCGAAGGCAACGCCTACAATTTCAGGAAAACCAGGGCAATTTATCAACTGTTCTAGGGTAACTTATCAGTTTCAATACATTCCAAGGTATTCCAGAAGTTATACATATTTGTTCCTTGCCACCACCACCAAGCCATCGACTGAACTTGGGGCACCTTCATCTTTTAGCAATGTGAACCCGGATTAAAAACAACTGGTATCTATTACTTAAGGTGCCCCCAAAATAGTGATACTCTGGTATCAAGTTCTGGTACCACGCCAATTTCACAACAGCTCCATCGAATGTTCTCGATCCATTCGGATCCGTGGAAGCGTCAATTTCCGTCCTGCACAACTGCACTGGATCCGGAACTCGCAGCACAATGCAAAGGTGTTTGTGCGAAGGCATTCACAGCGTACAACCTGCGAATGTCTGACATGTCGATTGTGCGATCCAGGGCACCCTGCATTCTGGATGTGCGATCCAGGAACCAAAAAATGTCAAAGCCAGATAGGTCTCTATACTTAGATCAATTATATACAGTAGATCATATTAGACTCCCCGTGGATTTTTTTCCAGGAAATCCATGAAATCAGCAAAGTCAGCCCCGATTCCCCAAGGATGATTTAAATCAAACGTGGCTGGAAAATCCAGAAAATTTATCGATGACTTTCCTAACCATGTCCATTTAAACTTAAAGTTAGGAGATTTCCCCAAAAATGTTTCAGTAGCAGGGGGTACTAAACACATAATATAGAAGCACAGGGGATGGATTTGGATTCGGATATTTTTGGCTGAATGATCATAATTTGAGTAATACCCTCTGGTAAACAAACATAGCTATTGAACATGGCCATTTATAGTGGATTTTCCCATTAAAAATTGTGATTTTCAATAGCAAAATGTTAGTTTACCAGAGGGTAATTCACCAACCTGAAATAACTTTATCATACGGCCAAGGGGGGGATGTTTCCTCGAATCCAATTCCCATCCAATTCCCATCCCAGTGACCGGTTTTTTGTGGGACATGAGGTCATGATATCCATCCAAATATATGATACATCATATGGAGGTTTCCTGAAATGGGGCTACCCCCAGTTCTCATCCATTTATAAATAGATTTTCCCTTATAAACCATCCATTTGGGGTACCCACAATTTAGGAAACCTTTATATGCTAATAAGATATCATAATATAATACCAATAAAACTAATTCGTGTAGGTAAATAATGTATCGGAGTTGTTTGGATGGCACTTGTTGGAAACATGACTAAGAGCATCTGCAGAACTATGAGAGGTGTAAGCCTACGACATCCCCAAGAATCAGACAGAATTTTGTGGCCGGCAACCCCGATGAAGAAAGACCATAGCTAATCTTGGGTATCTTAGCTTCCATCCAAAAACATCATTCAGCTGATTAAAAAATATACCCTCTGGTAATTTAACATAGCTATTGAAAATGGTCATTTATAGTGGATTTACCCACTGAAAATGGTGATTTTCCATAGCTTTTTGTAGGTTTACCAGAGGGTAATGGGGCAGACCCTGGCCATAAACCATCCCATAAGCCAGCCCGGATGGTGACTATGGCATTGGCTTTGCCAAAATCTATTCCCACTTGAACAACTAGTGACCCAAGTGCATGAATGCTCTCAGGTTTGGCAGATTTGCCGCAAAGGAACATCAAATCTGGATAAACAATGATTCAATGATATATATATATAATTTATAAATAAGTATATAAATTATGTAATAACTGAACTTTCTGAACTTCACCCGCAAATTCAGGTCTCGACTATTTGGGGCTTTCCTGAAAGGGGGGGTACCCTCAAATCATCCAGTGTCATTAGCTGAATGGTTTTTGACAAATCATTGTTGATAGGGGTTTCCCAATCCAAATCATACAAAAATAATCCCTTGATGATCATCAGCCCCAATCCAAACCAGTGGTTTTTGATGTCTTGGTATTGAAACCTATGGTTTTTTGGGATCCCCCATTTTAGAGAAACCCCCCAATTTAGGTCGCAGGAACTGCCCCAAAGGTAGTCGTCCACTGTTCACCAGCTCACGTAGAAGTCGTGCACGGCGCTCATCTGTGAGTTCCTAAAAGTTAGGGGGTCTCAATCTGCTGTTTGTTGAAAGTATGTGAAAGTGGTGAAACTGGAATGGTGCCAAAAAACTGACTTTTCTATGGTTTCAACATGTTTTAATATGTTTTAACATGTTTTAACATGTTTTAACCATGGTGTTGATGTTTTGTTGGGATAATTTCAGGCACCCTGTGTCATCTCCATGCTGGAGCTACTAACCCAGCTATGTTCCCAGCGTAGCTTGCCATGACGGCAGGAGGCTCAACCAACAGGGGGGCACGGGTTAATCATTAAAGATTGGGGAGATATACCCTTTGGTAAACATACAAAAATCGATGGAAAATCATCATTTTTAATGGGTAAATGATTAAATCCACTATAAATGGCCATGTTCAATAGCTATGTTAAATTACCAGAGGCTAAATAGATAGAATCAAGACACCATTGGAATTGAATTTGCTGGGCCAACGCAGGGATGGACAAATAAAACGAGTGCGTACACCGCCAAACTGACAACCAATGACAATTGCCCAAGCCCATCCAGAACCTACACCATCAACAAGTTGAACTGGGCTTCCTATACGTGCTTTGTACTCCATACCATCCTATATGCAATTGCAATATTCGGTGGCTGTGGTTCTTTCTCGATTCATTTTTTACAAACAACACCACCAATATTCTGGGTAAACTATTTTAAAAAATCACTAACTAACCTGAATCAAGTCGATTTGGCGATGCTTTCCCTTATTAACCATGATTTCAGGCTTCGGTTGCGACGTGAGCTCGTTATAATTTACTCAGAATATTGTGCGTCATGGTTTGGGGTTCCCAACGGGTTCCCAACTCAAAGAAACCTCAAGAAGGCGTCAATCCCTATTTCTGATGCTTGAAACTTGAAACCATCATATCTATCACATGTTCTGTTTAAGCCACTAGATTTGTCAGTTAAAAACCAAGTTGTTCTGCTTTCAGACTTTCAGGCATACGGCTTATTACGGCTTTATCGCAACATGTACTAATTGTCTAAATCATTTTCCTGAACATCGCCATTCATTGCTGGAAAACCGACCAATTTAATTGGTGGTCAAAATTGGGTGCACTAATTTTACGGTGGATGGTGAATACTAAACATCGACTAACATATGAGAAAATATGGGGGGTTCCTAAAAATGTAAAATGGGGTTACCCCAATAGCTGGATGGTTTATTTCATGGAAAATCCCAAACAAAAAATGGATGATTCAGGGCTACCCCTTCAGGAAACCTCCATATGTGGTTCTCCAGGTCCTTAATTTTGATCCATAATGTCAACCCCGGATTGACTTTCCAATGAATTATTGGAATGTACATTTTACCATGGTTTATTAATCCAGGGTTGACATTATATAGTACTAAATGATGATTACGATATGTTACTATATATTACTATATGTTAATATGAAAAATGCTACTATATTAATTCGTATGGTTACTATATATGTCTATCAATGCCATATCCACAATGGCCCATGGCCGCAACCCATCGCCCCACCGCCCAGTCTCCGGCAGCGTTCGCTTCTGTCCGCCCCAGCTCAAACATCGCTGGGCCGCAGCAGATGGGCCCGTGGTACCGCCTGGGACGTTCGATGTGTCAAACATGGGGCGCCTGACCCAGACATATCCAGAGATGGCTGATGTTGAATCATCAACTTATGGATATGTAAAAAGTTTCTTTTTGGATAACATGGATGAGTTTTCTCTATGAATCCAGACATATCCACAGATGGTAAATCATAGAGCAAATCATCAACTTCGAAAATCATCCATCAACATTTGGTCATCTTATGCTGGTTGGTGATTGAGCCACCCCTCTGAAAAATATGAAAGGCAGTTGGGATTATTCTTCCCAACATATGGAATGTCATAAAATTCATGTTCCAAACCACCAACCAGATATGTCATGGGTCTGGGTAAACTATAATATTTCACTAACCTGAATTAAGGCCATTTGGGGATGATTTCCCTTATTAACCATGATTGCAGTGAGGTCACAGTGAGGTCGTTATAATTTACCCAGATGGGTGGTAAGTCTGGTAAAATCTGGTAAAACCATCCATTTTTAGGTGAGAATTTTGACAGATGATCCCCCTCAAGGATGGCTCGACACAGCCGCAGTGCGGCAGCATCTGTCGGATGTATTTTGTTTGGGTTTCTGGGCTGTCCAACGGTGTTAACTGTTTCAACACAATTATCATCCTTTCAACAGGGTTGCTCCAATTTCCCCAGGTATAAAGAGGTAAAATGATGAGATAAAGAGGTCATTTAAGACTATTTACCACCCAAAAGTTGTTATCATTTCCCTAAAAACCAGTGGAGCATTCCTGTTGCACACAAACATCACTGCGACCGCGACCCCAATTTGCGGCACCTTCACTTGTGAAGCGTTCTCCACGACAAAGGTAGTGTATGGCCATCTCGCCTGCTTCATCATCATCATAACCTGGAACAAATGGTAAGAAGTAGCCCCGATTTTTGGGAATAGACACAGTTTTTACTATGGACATTTAGCTACATTTACCACTATCATATCAAATTCTGGGACCAATAGCTATACCCTCTGGTAAACTAACATAGCTATTCATAATCACCATTTATAGTGAGTTTTCCCATTTAAAATGGTGGTTTTCCATAGCTTTTTGTAGGTTTACCAGAGGGTACCCGATTTTTTGCAGAGATAGAGTTTAAGAGATGGCCATGACATGATGACATGGATCATGAAAAAAGGGGTCCCTGCATCCGCTCCACTTCTTATCGTTAAATGTGCTGACTTATGTTAACTTCCCATTCAATCCTGTATATATACATATATGTATATAATCATATATGTATATAATCATATATGTATATAATCACATATATATATATATATATAAATTAATAATATATATGTATACATATAATCACATATATGTACATATATTATCATCATATATATGTATATATATGTATATATGTATATATATATGTATATATATATATGTATATATATATGTGTATATATATATGTATATATATATATGTATATATATGTATATATATGTATATATACATATATATATATATGTATATATATATATAAAGAAAATAGCCCACGGCAGCACACACATAATCATATTCACAATCCCATTATTACATGGATTAGCATGGATCATCACATGAATTCCATCATCATATCCAAGCAATATATTCATATTCAATGATTCTTCCAGTAATTCCAGTATCATATCTGGCTCAACAAGAATCCCATCATTCAGAACATCATTTCCCCATATTTTCGATGGCCCTGGCCATTGGGCCCAGACTGAAAAATAGCGACGCTCTGCTCACCGACACACGTGACGTGGGGGTGGCATGTCCTGTGACTTGGAACTGGTGGATGCGACGAATGGAAGGCTTGGAAGCAAAACAACAACCATATAAAACTGGGACTATCTGGCTATCCCATGATATTCCATTCATCTATCTGGGGGACCCATTAAGTGGTATGCCGCAATGCACAAGTATCTTGTGGTTGGGACACTCTTAGCAACTCCGTGGCTCTCCATTTAACTCCCTCCTAACCACTGGACTTTTCGGCTGGTTCATGTCTTATGTTTTTTGTGCTTATTTCTAGTTCTATGGGATGATGTTGATAAATCTTGATAACATAAAATGAGAAAAACTATACTGGTTGGTGGTTGAGCCACCCCTCTGAAAAATATCAGTTCGTCAGTTGGGATTATTCTTCCCAACTGAATGGAAAGTCATAAAATTCCATGGTTCCAGTCACCACCAACCAGATATGAACATATGACAAACCAAAGTCCTGGGATGTGATGAGTTGCTGAAAAAATGGTGGCATTCACCACACCGATGGGCAAAATCACTCAGCAAATACCCAACTCACCAGAAATCTGCTATAGCCATGGTTGTTTCACTATTTGGTGAGGCAATGTCATAAACCAGCCATTTTTCAATTCATGCTTTCAATTGCCATTTCAATTTTTTTTTGGGTGGATCCTATTAGCCTGTTACATGAGTGAAAATTCTCTACATAAGAGCTGCAACCTTAGAAAACTGAGATTCAGCTGTTGTGAAGCTCGGGAGGTCCCATGAGATCAGATCACAATTTGAGGGTTTTATGTGGGTAAAACAATGGTAAACCCTCCCCCAAATCATCTTTTTTGTTTGGTGGTATTAACCATTTCCAGTCATGGGTGGCTTATTGTTTTACTCACATTGCCCCCTTGATTTTCATGAACCAGGGTTTATCAACCTAGAACACCCGGAAACTGCTGGATGATGAGAGAAAATCTGAGAAATTTTCAAAACAGGTAAATCCTCTGACAACAATAATGACGATACTTGGAATGATGGTAACACATGGAAACTGTTGGATCAGTGGGCATCCCAAAAGATGAGCCCCAAGGGGTCCAGCCGTCTTCCATCACCCGCTGATCTCCATCCGTGGTTCCTGCTGATGCTGGCGATGCGGGCGATTTCGGCAGGTCGTCTTCCGGCACGCCTCACTGCGGCGATTTGCGACCCAAGAGTGTCCCTCTTGGGGGTGCGGGCCCCCATTTATATCATGTGGGTAAAATGTCCACCCATAAAAAATGGTGATTTTCCATAGTTATGTTAGTTTACCGGAGGGTAGTGACACAGATTAATGTAGGTAAAACAATGTCATAAACCACCCATTTGGGAATGGTTTAGACCACCTATAAAAATGATGATCTGGGGGATGGTAAACATGACATTGTTTTACCCACATTACATGGGATATAAACCACTTACAAATCGTGGGATGCACATTCATTGGGAGAATTTCGCAAAATTGACCGAATCAGAAAGGCCTTTTCGGTGTGTGTAAAATAAGTTCTATCTATCTATCTATCTAATCTAATCTAATCTAATCTAACCTATCTATCTATCTATCTATCTACCTATCTATCTATCTATCTATCTAATCTATCTAATCTATCTAATCTATCTAATCTATCTAATCTATCTAATCTATCTAATCTATCTAATCTATCTAATCTATCTATCTAATCTAATCTAATCTATCTATCTATCTATTTATCTATCTATCTATCTAATCTAGTCTATCTATCTATCTAATCTATCTAATCTAATCTATCTATCTAATCTATCTATCTATCTATCTATCTATCTATCTAATCTATCTATCTATCTAATCTATCTATCTATCTAATCTATCTATCTAATCTATCTATCTATCTATCTATCTATCTATCTAATCTATCTATCTATCTATCTAATCTATCTATCGAATCGAATCGAATCGAATCGATCTATCTATCTATCTAATCTATCTATCTAATCTAATCTGATCTAATCTAATCTAATCTAATCTGATCTATCTATCTATCTATCTATCTGTCTGTCTATCTATCTATCTAATCCATCCATCCATCCATCTATCTATCTATCTATCTATCTAATCTACTAATCTATCTATCTATCCATCTATCCATCTATCCATCTATCCATCTATCCATCTATCCATCTATCCATCTATCTATCTATCTATCTATCTATCTAATCTATCTATCTAATCTATTCTAATCTAATCTAATCTTATCTGATCTTATCTATCTATCTAATCTACTAATCTACTAATCTATCTATCTATCCATCTATCTATCTATCTAATCTAATCTTATCTTATCTTATCTATCTATCTATCTATCTATTCTTCCACGAATCCCTATTAAACATATTGCAGCATTTTTACAGGATTTTCATGGATCATCTGTAGTGGTGGTCCACAAATGGTCATAGAAAGTTCGTTGATTTTCCCAGCAACATAGCATGGTGATTTTCCATAATGATTGGAAGTAGGTTTCCCAGAGGGTACATCATCCAATCATGGGCACAAAGCTGGCCCCAGCCGAATTGAATGATGGGACTGTTATGACTGCTATGACTGTCATGTCCAAAGTTTCATGGGATCGGGAAACTCAATTTGTAGCTCCTTAAGTATCCGCACCTCATACCGAAGAATATGTGGGTAAAATAATCATAAACCATCCCCAAATGACCATAAATGAACAGGTGGTTTTTGAACCATTCCCAGTCATGGCTGGTTAAAGTTTATGACTTTGTTTTACCCACATTACCCCAATCCCTCGGAACATTCTGCACAGTGGAGGCCTGCGCAGCAAGAACAGCGCAACTGGCAGCGCATAAAGGTCATGAAAACACATCGATACATTCGCCACCTCAGATTCTGATGTCGGCGTCAAGCCGACATAGGATAGAGTGAAACATTAGGACTGGCTGGGTCGCTTTAAAATGCGTAAACATCCTTTTACACCATAATACACCACACCATGCCGCTCAAAGAAACAGAATCGAAACCAATGGACAGTCTGGCTGAATTCCAGCAGTTCGCCAATGCAAAATAAACCGACCTTACCTTGGGGAATTGTTTGTTGCTGCTGCTTATCATCATCCATGAAGTGGTGGTTAGGTCATCATCATGAGCCACTTACCCCAGCTTACACTTCAGCCCAATGCCCCTTGATTTCCGTGAATGCCTTCAGGCACCCAACCTCCAAAATAGAAAAAACAAGGCAAAACAAGGCGTTGATATCCTCCAAACGCATTGACGTTACTGGTTTCTTCATGGTTTCTTCACAAGACGTCGGGGAAACTCGTTGTGAAACATCCGGGAAACATCACCATCAACTTCCCACGGTTGATCCATCAGCCCATCATCAAGTCGCAGCAAATGACAACGACGCTCTTTGTAGTCCAACAGCAAGTCTGCCACGTTGCTATCGCCCAAAATCAGGGCCTCTCGCCTCGGAAAGCACACAGATTGTGGTAATGTGGGTAAAACATGGTAAAACAACATCATAAACCATTCCCCAGTCATCACCATTTAGTATAGATGGTATATAAAACCATGCCTAGTCATGGCTGGTCTACGACATTGCTTTACCCACATTAAAGCATAATTAAATCTAAGTTGGTGCAAATAACTCCAATAAAAACTTGGTTTATGCTGGATATATCTATAGTTACTATGGAATGCACATCCAGTATGTTGGTTCTATATTGACAAAAAAACGCTGAGGATAGTGATGACTGACCGTCAGGATTTTGGAGGCTGTTCCCTCCAACATTAATAGGACAAACCCACATGATTGTTGGTAAAAAAAACATCCCATTGTAATATTGTCATATTCACCTTTTAATTCTACATGACATGTATTCTTTTGTTATGCACACTGCTCGATCTGTATATATATATATATGTATTTTTCAAATCTAAATATACAGAATTAGATCAAGAGGTAGGTACCTGAGGTACCTGTATATTTATATGCTACTTGCTGTACACAATTCAATGTCATGATGCAAGGCGAAGCAATCTCATCCCAGCTCCGTCAGCCGTGAAATCTGAACCGCTGAGGAATTGATAAGAAAAGCCTTCTGGTAAAAAGGCTATGCAAAAAATCATCTACCCTCTGGTGATTTAACATAGGTATTGAACATTGCCATTTATAGTTGATTTACACATTAAGAATGGTGATTTTCGATAGTTATGTTAGTTTACCAGAGGGTACCATCTGGTTATTTAACATAGCGAATTGGAAAATCCATGAACAATGGAAGTTTCTAGATGGGAAAAAATCATCTGTAAATGGGCCATTTTCCAAAGCTATGTTGAATAACCAGAGGGTAAATAGCAACATCATCAGCAAATGGATGATTTACCAAGGTTTGATTTCCAGGATTCATACGGTCCCATTGCCAGGATCAAGTCGACTGCTTGTCACTTTACAACTCATCTGTTGGTTTGACCGTTTGACCTCGATTTCGGTTCAGTTCAAATCCCATGCTTGTCCGTTGAATTTCCCATTTGGATATTGGGACGTGTTGGGGCAAAATGATAGAAACACTCCAAATAAATGGATACTTTGAAAAGAACAAACGATGTGTAATGCGTAATAGAATTACAGATTATTGTAAAAATGTGATGTGTAATGTGACTTTGATTTTTTCATAAAATTTCCAACGACCCTTTTAAAGGGTTCTCTTCTGGCATCCTCAGTATACCCCTACTTTTGTCCCTATCCGTCCCACTAAACCAGAAATTTTCAGCAGTTCTCCTCATTTCATCAGCATTTTATCCCATGTATTCAAGGCAAATTATGTAATAGCCATAGCTCATACTCACTCGCCTGAAATGTGGTTTTTTGTTCGGATGTTTCATTTAATTCAATCCAATTCCCATCCAGTTCCAGGCATCGGTCACGACGTGAGGCCATAATTGATCTTTCCATCAATATATCCCTACTTTTACCCTCTGGTAAACTAACAGTTTGCTATGGAAAATGACCATTGAAATAGTGGATTTTCCCATTAAAAATAGTGATTTTCCATAGCAAACTGTTAGATTACCAGAGGGTATCCCTATACCCTTTTCAATCTCCGCATTATATCAGCATTTCCCATGACATCACCATAACGCGGTCGGGCCACAGCATCCGCTGCGCCCGGCGCACCCGTGGCACCCGACGCCGGCTTGGCCGTGCCGTTGTGCCGGTGCCGCCATCGCCATCGCTGGCCCGGGCGCAACTGTCGAGGCACGCGCTGAGCATCGAACAGAAACCGCAACCTGGGGAGATTTGGAAAATCTATAGGAAAATGATGTGAAAATCTACTATCAATAGAAGTTTTATATAGTTTTATTGGGGAAAATATTGTAAACATCATGTACACATGGGGTTTGGTGGAAATCTTTGGATGTTCCCTGCTATAATCTCCTATTATCATGGAATGTGGGATATAATACGGGTATAATTTGGTGGGATTTGACCAACTAATATGGGGGCATCATTGAAATTGGGATATGACTGGGATTTAGCTTCGACATCCGCTTTTTTGATATCAAAGGGAGGATATAATGGAACATGTTTGGAATATACCTGGGATATAAAACCAGAATTTGGGATATAAACTATAAGTGGGAGACATTCTAACCTGGGAGAAAATGATGGAAAAAAACCGAGGGTCCTGGTGGGACATAGTTGGCAATTGGTATATATACTTGGCAAAAAAAAGATATAACAATCAATAAACTTGCGAGCTATATTTCGAGTAAACTTTGATCCCAGTGGTTTAAAACGAATATGCCCAGTGGAAGAAGTAATGGAACTATTTGGAATATACCTGGGATATACTTGGATAATTTGGGATATACTATGCATCCCCGACTTTGCTGAATTACAATTTTGGATGTAACTTATGGGAAGTTGAATGGCCCAGAATATAAACTTCATATTAACTTGCTAACTTGCCGGCGGATGTGCCTGAAAGATGACTCAATCTGGATCTGGAGGACTGGAGGAGTCGAATCTTGACGTTAAAACAAAACATATTTCTCATCATTTTCGAATCCTCCATATAGCAACTCCCAACAAAATGGAATTTGCCAGAGGAAGAACCCAAATCCACTGGCATCAATGCACAGGTGTTTGCCAATGTTTAGCCAAGAAAAGGTCGGTGATTTTCACATCATCAACATCACCATCACCATCATCCCAAGACTTGAAGACTCCAAGTCCAAACTGAGCTACAAAATGGCACCGCCAGGGGCACCACAACCATCAAAGCGATGGACAACACGTATTCCTGCCGTTCCACAGCCGACCAATTTCGTGCTGGGCATTGTTCGCATGTCAATGTCTGAGACATGAAATAACACTTCTAGGTCGGTGAAGGGTGCTAAAGTGTGAATTTCATGCCGCTTGCTCATTGCTTACGATTTCTGGCCATGCTTCACAGTTTGTGAGCTGCAAAACCATCCTTTTCATAGGCAATTCATGAATGGGCCAGTTTACAGATCAGGCCACTGTGGGAGCGCTCACCTTCTGACAACCCTTCTGCATTGCATAATTGCATGCGCTATCCATCACTTAGTGATTCAACAGCCTTTCCTTAACAAATTACATTGTTTACATGTGTTCACCCAGCCCACCACCCCCAAAAAAAACAACAAGTCAAGGCTAACCAAACCAAATCACAAAGAACGAACAACCAAACAAGCAAACAGATTAAACAGTATTGATCAAACGGATTAAGGTAAACCATCCCCATCCGCCGTTTGCCAGTCCTGGTCCTCACCTTCGCAGTTTCCATTGAGGATCCTCTGCGCCGGGCGGCGCCAAATTTGGCGCATTTTAAGGAAGGGGATTCATTGAACCGTGTGGTTAATTTGGTGGCGTACTGTAGTTTACCACATGGTGAATTTACCGCATGGTGAATTTACCACAGCTTTGACAATGGAATACAATGAATTTTAGCATATGGCTAGCACCAAAAAAAAACACCACTCCCGGGGCGTTCATTTGACAACATGGCTAGATAGTTGACAGACCATTGAGAGATGATGGTTGATGAGTTATTATGAATTGTTTGCACAGGGATTTATCATCTGGAAATTCTCGGGGCCCTGCTGAAAGTGACATTTCAGAAGGTGAATTGGGCTCATCACTTTTGTCACTTTGCGATGACTGTGCCAACTGGCAAATCTACAGTAGGCCTTTGAAATCATCAGCTGCGAAATATCACCTCATGGCCTGTTGTATGGGAACTGTTATCATCTCCTTCAGCTTGAGAAACCATTGGTTATATCAATCAAAATCCACCAATAATTTGGATGGTGGGAGGCGTGGCTACTGCCTCCTACTCAATTCAAGACTTTCCTTGCAATCCGTGCAGCCCACGTGAAATTCATCTATAGTCTATAGAATTAAACCTTTCACATGTTTGCATGGAATATCCCATTGCATCCACATTTTTCATATTTCATGCTGTTTCTACTATCAGTTTTTTGGCTAATGGCAAGAGCATTGCCAAGGTTGGAAACACAGCAAAAATCATTTTTTTGCCAGCAAACTGTATGTAAATATATGAAAATATTCCTGTCTATACCATCGGAACTACAGCCATCCTTCCAAGGTTCAGCAATATCGAGCCCTTGAGAAATTGCAGCCGATTATATGTATGTATGTATGCATGCATGCATAAGTCACATGAAACTCATTTATACATGTATATATATATATACACACTATATACATCCCACAAAAGGCATGTTCTTCCCACCAAAAACACAAATAAATTCCATAAATCGGAGAATACCATATAAATTCCATCTTCCCGCAGCATCCAACATAAATCCCATATATTGTCGCCATATGAACGCAGCAATTTCCATCTCCCTTCACGTTTTTCAGCGACGCCGAGAAGCAACAGGGCAATGGCACCGAAGAACAGGCACGTGACCGCCAAGCAGCTGCCGGCAATGGCTGCCGGCACTGGGGACTCACCTCAGAGTCATACCCAGCTTCTAAATGGGTTATATCAAAATAGCCATAATATAATCCGTATAAAAGTTATATCATCATACAAGCACCGTACTTAAGTCACATCAGGCGGGAAAAGTCACATCATCCCCATGGCACGGCGGCGATAAGGAGAAGTCACATCAGGTAGTGGAAAGTCACATCAGGGAAGAAGAATCACCATGGCACAGCCTTTTTCATCTATACTTGGAGATGTAGTTAAAAGTAGCCGAAGCATTGCGCACAGCGATGATTTTGAAGGGCACAAGTTCATACAAACAAATTCTCGGCAGCTAATCCTATTGGATTTGAATATATTATATTGATGTCCTGCGTCGCGTGATCAAATCAAACCCCTATTGGTACAGCCTCAAATTTCTTGCAATGCAAGTGGGTTAGTTGTAGCAAATCCTATTGGCAGGGCTGTGATCTAGGATGATATAAGCATATGGGGGCCCCTTGTTTTCCGCAACCAAATCTATGGCTGGCGCGATGTGCATCAATGTTGTGGGCAGCTTGCGAGATGGTGCGAGATGGCGCAGATGGTGAGCACAGCGACACAACCGCGCTATGCGACAGCAGTGTTTCATTCCAACCAGCCAGAAACATTCCCTCTCTCTGCTGGTGTCTCCCGCCCGTACCTCCCGTCAGCGCCAAACAAGGCGACCGAGACTGTTATTTTCTGTTTCGGCAAAATGTTTGCACGAGCGGCAGCAGCACCAGGAGGAAGCAGCAGCAGCAGGAGGAAGCAGCAGCAGCAGGAGACAGCAACAGCAGCAGGAGACAGCAACAGCAGCGGCAGCAGGAAGCAGCAGCAGCAGCAGCAGCAGCAGGAAGCAGCAGCAGCAGGAGGAGGAAGCAGCAGCAGCAGGAGGAGGAAGCAGCAGGAGGAGGAGGAAGCAGCAGCAGTAGGAGGAGGAAGCAGCAGCAGCAGGCAAGCAGCAGCAGCAGCAGCAGGAGGCAGCAGCAGGCAAGCAGCAGCAGGCAAGCAACAGGCAAGAAGCAGCAGGTAAGCAGTAGCAGCAGGCAAGCAGCAGCAGGGGGAGGAGGAAGCAGCAGCAGCAGGAGGAAGCAGCAGCAACAGGAGGAGGAAGCAACAGCAGCAAGCAGCAGCAGCAGCAGCAGCAGCAGGAGACAGCAGCAGGCAAGCAGCGACAGGCAAGAAGCAGCAGGCTAGCAGCAGCAGGCAAGCAGCAAGCAGCAGCATGGAGCAGCAAGCAGCAGGCAAGCAGCAGGTGAGCAGCAGGTAAGCTGCAGGTGAGCAGCAACAGGTAAGCAGCAGCAAGCAGCAGCAAGCAGCAGCAAGTAGCAGGCAAGCAGCAGGGAAGCTGCAGGCAAGCAGCAGGCAAGCAGCAACCAGCGTTTGCCCCCTTGAAAGAATAATCAAATATATCTTTTGAAAATCAACGCAATAAAAAAAATGAACTTTTTCCAGCCGCACGGCCCCAAAACAATGAAATCGTTCAAATACTAAAAGTTGTGGTGATGCCAAACTTGAACTTTTTCCAGGCGCACGGCCTCCCGATACGACTTTTGCAAGCTGATGCGACTTAACGCTAGCGCTTGTATTATCCATTTATCAGCCTAATATTATATAATGAAATATCCTTCAAAACTAGAAGAGCATGATCCACAATAAAATCTATAATATTCTATGGTACTATCACCATTTATCGTAGAACATTATCGTAATGCAGTTGGTCGTATCTACAAATGAACAGTATCTAAAATAATACAGTATCTATAGTTCTAGCTGGTTGATGAGTTCTCACTATAGGCAGTAAGACATTGAATATGATAGTAAAGCCCCGATCACTAAGTAGTTGCTATCTGGTTGCAGTAATCGTAGCTCTAAATGGATTATATCTTTAATGAGAACTAAATGGAACATAGCCATGGCAGAACATTATCCGTAGTAAATAGTTAAAGCTGGCTGGTGAGTTCTCATTACTCCTAGTTGTGTTGTATGATAATAAAGCCCCAGCCACTAAGAAGGTACTATCTGGTTAAAGAAGTTGTAGCTACTAAATGGTTTTATCTACAATGAGAACTCATGAGCCAGCTAAGGAAAATATGATGTAAAACACCCCTATCACTAAGAAGTACTAAGATTGACATGGCCAGTTGCTATGTATAGTGGATACTTGGTTGAATGGTTTCCTATAGTAGCAGTTACTTAATTAACCAGCCCGTGTATTGTTAATTACCACAAATAACAATTACATAACCACTTGCGATTAATAGGGTGTAAAGCCCCAATCACTAGGATGTAAAGGGGGTTCTATCAAACCAGTTCATGCGGGTTGCGGCTGGCAATGAAAAGAAAAAGAACATCAAACCGGAGTGTGTTGAACACTGCTCAACTACCCTCGTTTACCTGGGCCTAAAAGGACTTACATCGAACCAGCTCATGCGGATTATAGTTTGCTAAAACTGGTGAATGTCCATTCATAATTAACAAATTGGATGCTATATGGTGTCCAGCCCCAAAAATTAGGCCTTAGAGCCGTAGAGTTTGTGGCAGCGTGGCATTTTGTATCTATAATTCACAGGGACTTCGAAACCACCAACCATCACTGGGCCCACCTTGGGTAGGAACTGGTGGGTACCAGGGCCCAAAAAGCGGTGTGTTTTTGCATTGTTTGACCATGTTGGACACCCCCAAATTATGTAAAACGAACGTACACTTGGATGAATAAGATTGAGGAAATCATGGCTTTGGATCGAAGAAAATGATTTGAACATATTTGAACTAAATATCACCGTAAAAAAATTATGAGGAGCTAGTTCGGAATAAAATTGAGTTTGGCTCGGTCGCGCCAGGTAAAGGATGGAAAGTAGACGCCAAACTGATAGTGGGATCGGCATAGCCAGGTTAAAAAAAGACATGTTGAGTCAGAGGGCTAGTCGCCATACATGTGTCAAACACGGATCAAACCCTAGCAAAACATGGCGCAACTCGATTCATGTGCAGTTCAGTTCAAACCCGATGTCAAAATGCGCAAGCCACCAGCTAGCATATGGCGGTGGATGTTCAAAATGAAGCGCGCAAATGCGCAAACTATATACAACGGTATACGCTGCCGGAAATCGAACGGCGCGATGCCCTAAATGGAGATGTCCAATCAAACATACAAGGAACCTCATCTTCCCATCAAAGTCACAGCCCAAACAGGCTTTACGCCACAGCAATGCCACATTGCAAACCACCGAGTGGATTTCTCTGATTTCAACTGCCGAACATGCACATTTTTTCACGCCAAGCATAATCTTTTGCAAGCATTTGGCTCTGAGCATTTTCTGAAGACTGGGGTATACCTATAAATTTCATGGAACAACATCATGTTTCTTTTCCAACTCACCATATTTTTGATGTTTTTGCATCTAAACTGACCAACTGTTCATCCATGTTCCATGGTTTCCCACCCCCGGCCCGTTAGACCCAGGCACTGGCTCCGTAAAAAACCAAGCACCAGCACAACGACAAACTCGCGGTGATGGCGGGAAAGGAAGATGCCCATGAGACCTGGCTAAACATGGAAATCTATGATGTCCAAAAAGGATCAAGAAGGAAATAATGTGGGTAACACAATTATCAACCATCCCCCAAATCACCAAAAATAGGTGGTATAAACTATTCCCAAATGGGTGGTTCAGTTTTGTTTTGCTCACATTATATGGAAAATCTATGAACATGTGACATGTTTATTGTATTAATTAAGGGTTTATCGTCATTCTCGTTTTTTTTCTACTCAGAACTATCATCGAACTACAGTAAATCAACCATGGTTTCCTAATATATACCATGGTTTCCATATAGCTTTGTTGGCTTACTGCAGGGTTCAGAAATATATTCAAACAAGGTGAACCCGCCGGATTTCAATTTAGGGGGAACCATCATTAAGCAAAGCTGTAGTATCCTTTCTTGAATCTATTTCGCTAATTTGTTCAGTGTATATCAACTTTGAAAAAATGAACCCACAAGGGTCAATCAAGTATATAATGGTAGACTGCTGGCTCGGACTACATCTTGTGGATATTTGTGGATCAACATCTCCGTGGCGGGGAAGCTTTTCCCTCGCTGGTTTGACCCAAATATGCGTAGATGCGGGAAGTGATCACCAACACCTGCTGTATCACTCCTACAGCGTTGCCCAAACGATCAACCGCTTGTTGTGATATCATCATCTTGCTGCAAGGTCCTATTGATTATGCTTGGTGGTACCATCCCTGCTGAAACATGTGAACATCACTTGAGGTATCAAACTCTTCACAACTGGATTCATCGAAGCCCACAAGCAGATATCGCTTCTCAGCTACCACTCGCAAATTTGACATGGAACCTGCTAAAGCGACCTGGAAAAGAGGGGCACCGAACAAAGTCCGCAAAACCAATGCATACATTATATTTTCATATACGCGGGAAATCCTAAATAAACCTAAATATGTATATATATATGTGTGTGTGTGTGTGTCATATGTCAATATTGCTGTATTGAACAAATACTTATACTTCAACATATGCAAACGCATCATCCGCGCCATGTTCGGGTTCCAAATTGCATATCATGGGCCTTCCCTGCATTATCCCCGTGCCCAATCTTCGCCCGGCCATTCCACCATATTCCACCTCACTACATGTCAGTTGCCGATCCGCCAAATAGGGGTTGGACCACATGAATGGGAACGAGAGCCATGCACCTTAGCCGGCAGTTACAACGAGTTTCAGCTCCCTAAAAGATATGAAAGCCAGCTGGGGTCATCCCCAGGATTTGAACATCAACAGTTGTAACATGTTGTAACTACGAACCAGTGTTTCAAACACCAATGCGGCCAGTCCATGGGCCCCAAAGGACTCCTAACTGTGCCAGTTCTCGTTCTTTGAAGAGCCATGTATGCGTGAATCTTCCATGGAACCTATTTCTATCCCTAGTTTACTTTGTCCATGACCTGGAATATTTCATCCTAACATGATGGCTTCCTCACAAACTTGAGAGGGGGGGACGAAAGGTAGGTGGGGGCATATCTCTCAACAACTTTTTGCGCTCATCCTGTTTCAATATCGAACTTTCCCTTCCCCCTAGGTGCCTCTCAATTTCCTGCATCCATTTCGCTTCATACGTAGACTTCCCCCATTGGCCTCTCCACCACTTCTTACGTTTTTGTTGTTGCAATATCCGACCTTCCTCGGCATCAACAACTTCTTGCATGCATCTTGTCTCAATATCTAAATTCCACACACCCTGTGCCATAGTCAGTAATAAGAACCACAAGCAAGATAATGTTAGTCAGTTTGCTGGCCAGCTACGTGAATTAGAGGGGCCAAGGTGCCTCAACCGATGGACGCTCGGTTGAGGCACTTTGCGTGTAGGGATAGGTCTTTAGGGATGTAACCTTCATGCGGCAAAGTGCGTGAGGATGTCTGAAGCAAAAGCAACATCAAGAACTCAGGAGACGAAACCGTCTTTGTTCCGTGGGAAGTATTAAAAGGCTTGTGGCTCAGGGATAAGTGTCGCTGCGAAGGGACATACTGCTATTGTTTTCTTATCTAACAGCATTGTCCATGACCTGTGAAGAACATCGAGTGGTCTCGTAAAGTATTCCAGTTGGAGCACGGAGCTCAGCTGTGTGTCTGTGATATGCGTAGAGCACCGAATTGCTTCTTATTGAGCAGAAAAAAATTGCCATGGCAACAGTATCGCAGTAGGCAGGTGCAAACAGCCATTGCAATGGACTTTCGTCTGTCATGAGTCTAGAACGCAACGTACATGGATTGGAATCGCACGTGTGCTGGGTGAAACAGGATGCGCGTGCGCTGAGGGGTATCAGAAGAGGTGGAAGTAAATAGGAAAACTTTTGCACACGCAAGTCATCCTTCCTTCCTTCCTTCCTTCCCTTCCAGGAAATTACAATACAGTAACCCATATCTAGGAGATTGTAACGCACAGCTTATTCCCTGCCAGTGTGGGCACCAACCGATCCGGATAGTAAGGACTAGTCAAAGTGACAGAACGTCGCTGCAGAAGATCACGTGCGTCAACTCAGTCGGGGCACGCGCAACCTGAACCCATGCAGACCTTCAGAGCACTCTGGGCACGCTTGAACTGGGGCTCGCAGGGGCTGATGCTTGCGCATTGAGATGGGGTCGGCGCTCCTCTGTGAAGCCCTCAACAGTGGCCAAGCAATAGGCTATCTGAGAGTTCGAGGCGATTTTCTGCTTGTGCGCTGCACATCTAGATCATACTGTGCTTCAACTGGAAGCTGCAATGACGATACATTAACCCGTATCCGGAAGCTTATCACTTGAGGCTAGCAGCGGAGCCAAAAATATGCGTGGCGGAATCCGGACCAGGGAGGAATCGAGGGGGGGGCCCTTATGTGGAGATTCCTGACTTCCAGCCGTCAATTTCCAGGAAAGGGCCGACCACCTCCCCCAGTACTAAAATAGTACTACAGTACATAGAACTCAAGTAGCCTAGGTTACCTTTCGTGAATTCCATTTATCCAATCACATGGTTACATTGGGTCAATCCACCATCACCAGCTGACCATGAAAATTTCCCACCCTCAGTGCATCGTATCTCCAAGTGACCTGCAGCAAGGAAGGCCGTGCCGAAGACGAAGGAGATGAAACGCGTGCATTGACCTCGGAGTGGAGACGAGTCAAGCTGGTCAAGCCATGAGGCCCCATAAACCGAAACCGTTAAGCCCGTTAAGAAAATACCACTGCTGATTATTTCAAGATGGATGCTGGATGGGTACAGATGGACCAAGGGCGGTTTTGACAATGTTTTTCTCCCCTCCAACCTGCCGAAAAATGATTGATGTACTAGCTGCTGATGTACCCGTGGATGGATCTTGACGGCCGTGACCCCGTTTTGTCAAGACACGCTCGCAATCGCAGCGGCAGCCACGTGCACATTGCGCACCCATGGTAGCGCAAAGTGGCTGGGCTCTTTGTACTTGATTGTAAAAAAAACCACGGTGGATTGCCGTCCCAGAATTGTGATTGACATCTGAACTCGCCCACAAAGCTATAGTCAATTACGTCTTCTGGCTTTAGGCAGCTTGGGCATACTCAAGCCCGGCAGGTCGCAACGTTTATGGCCTGTTCTTGTCTATGTTTGAGTCTTTTTGTGCATTCTTTCCGCTTCACCATTTTCATTGCGGGCCGTTGGGTTGTGTGAACACGGGTTTCCGGTTACATCTTTCCCTCTCTATATTCAATTTGTGGGATCTATGAGCTTCCTGCTGTTGAAACACTTGCCGCTGACCAGCAAAAACCAATAAGATGCGGGGCAGCACTTGATTTTCTTACCCTGAACACTTGTAAGTTTCTATATACTGGACTCTGCTGAACCCTATGCTGCCCTACAGCTACTCTAGCAACTGTCAATGGCTTTCGTTGGAAATGACCCACTCTGAAACCGGGTGAAGCGCTGCAGCCTGCATTTTTTCTGTGTGGCCTGTGGCTTCGGTCCGTACCCACTTTTGTGGAACGCAACGCGCCCAATCGCCCAGTGGCAACAAAACAGCCGCACAGTGGTGGGATGTCACTGCATTTGAAGTCTCTGGTGTTGTTTACTGTATCTGCAAAGCGTTTTTTGGACAAAATCTACATCAAAATCTACTACAACTTTCATCACATGGTAGTATGTGCAGTGAGAATCGCTTGCAAAAGATGCAAAAGGGGACCAAAATCGTGGCTGACAGCTCTTGCTGAAGGATAGCGTCCCATAGATGCGGAATTCTTTCTCTTCCAGCCAGCATGGATTTGCTTGTGAGAATTCATCTGGTAATAGCTGGTAATCAAATATGGCAATGGAAAACTTCCCATTTTGTTCGATGATTTTCCTATGAAATGCCTGCATTCACAATGGCTTTCCCAGCTCCCATCCATTTACAAGGGATTTTTCCCATTGCCAGGTTTGATTGGCGAGGGTGCCTGCGTTGTTGTCCCTTGATCGACCAGGGAATACTGCAGGCCAAGCTACCGTCTTTGCATGGTTTCAACCCATCTGAAACATGAGTTCAGATCATCCCCCCAAATAGTCTTTGGATTTGAAGTAACATGAAATATAGCAAGCCCCAATTAGAAAGAAACGTGCTTGCAGGATGGTGTAGATTGTGTTTTCTACATTTTTCCAGGTTTCCAACTTTCAGGCAGACAAACAGGAAATCACCAGGTAAGATTGTCTACTTTAATTAAGATTGCTTGTGTAAGAATCTCGCCCACCCAGTGCTTTTTGCTCCAGAAAATGGGCATCCACTTCCGTGTGGCTGAAACAATTTTCTTGGCGTGGAGAGTTCGGGCTGTAAACTGACGCCTGGCCTACTTCCCCCTTTAAGGCAACACATGAACCCAAATAAGCCCCTAATGAAATCAAGGTTACATTCCGGCGCTGAAACAAGAGATCTCGCGCAGTTAAAAACACATTTTCCGATTTATCACTAAAAAATGATGCAAAGAACTCCGCTGCGCTGTTCCTGCACTGCCCAAACAGACAGTGGCGGCGTGTTCCCATTCGAAACACAGTTCGATGTGGGAGAATCATTTCACGGAGTTTCTCGCCAAAAAACAATGGCCTGTAAGGTGGGCACCCTTAGAAAGCTCAGTTGGTTTAGAATTTCAATAAAACTATATCCAGAGAAGTAGTGCTAAAAAGAACAACAACTTTTAGCTACCTAAGGGTGCTCACCCGGTGGTGTCTTGCGATGTTTACTTTTCAAGGGTGTTCAATCAGTTGTGCGAAACCCCCGGCAAACCCAGGCGAACCAGCCAGCTGGATTTATCCAAATAACAGGCTATACTATATAGCATAACGTAACCGAGTTTTCATGGGGAATGTGATTTTCTCACCCGTGATTTTCTGTTCATAGCACGGCGTCTGAGAATCAAACATGGCTTGCCTGGAAGCCCACCACTTAGGTCGACGATTTCCCCATGTAAATGCCAATTCTGAAGGAATTTCTATGGATTTCTCATTGCCATGCTTTGATTCCCAAAGGGTACGCTCACAAGAACACCGCAAACAAATTTCAAGGGTGAGTCCAGGCTGTGTTTCTGCGCGTTTTCACACCATGCTTGAATTTCCCAACTTATTTTACAATCAAGAATGAAACACGACACGCAGTGCAAGCAAAAGCAATGAACCCTGCGTTCTCCAAAATTGCTCCAGTGTCAGGAGGCCCCGTAGACTTAGTTATGCGTGCGAATTCTTTAAAGCCCCGTTGGCAGCGAGCTGGTGTAGGAATTTCACACAGGCAAAGGGCACGCGTGAATTTTATGTTCATAACATACCAGTAGTACCGCACAAGGCGGTGGCGGAAGTTTCAAAAATAGGAAACCTATAGGAGAGGTTGGTTGTTGTGAATCAAGGGTGGCAGAGCGAAGCCACTGATGGATTGAAAGGTGCTTGATATCTCTCACTCTTTCTCTCTCTTTCTCTGCCTATCTACCTACCTACCTACCGATCTATTTTCTATGTATCTATCCAGCTATCGATCTATCTATCTATCTCTCTTTCTCTCTCTTTCATCTGTCTATCTGTCTAGCTGTCTATCTGTCTGTCTATCTATATATCTATCTGTTTGTCTGTCTGTCTATCTGTCTACCTGTCTATCTATGGTGCAGTGTCATCCAGTCTAATGCAGTGTAGTGTACTGTAGTGTAGTGTAGCGGAGTGTAGTGGAATGTAGTGTAGTGCAGTGTAAGGTAGTGTAGTGTAGTGTAATTTAGCGTAGTGTAAATTAGTGTAGTGTAGTGTAGTGGAGTGTAGTTGTAGTTGTAGTTGTAGTTGTAGTGCAGTTGAGTGTAGTGTAGTGTAATGTAGTGAAGTGTAGTGGAAGGTAGTGTAGTGTAATGTAGTGTAGTGGAGTGTAGTGTAGTGTCATGAACTGCAGTGTAGTGTAATTTAGTGCAGTGGAGTGTAGTGGAATGTAGTTGGGTAGTTGTAGTGTAGTGTAGTGGGATGTAGTGTAGTGGTGTGTAGTGGAGTGTAGTGGAGTGTAGTTGTGTAGGTGTAGTTGTAGTGTTGTGGAGTGTAGTGTAGTGTAATGTAGTGAAGTGTAGTGGGAGTAGTGTAGTCTAGTGTAATGTAGTGGAGTGTAGTGTAGTGTAATGTAATGTAGTGTAGTGTAATTGAGTGTAATTGAATGCAGTGTAGTGTAGTGGAATGTAGTTGTGTAGTTGCAGTTGTAGTTGTAGTGTAGTGGAGTGTAGTGTAGTGTAATGTAGTGAAGTGTAGAGGAAGGTAGTGTAATGTAGTGCAGTGGTGTCTATCTGCCTACCTGTCTATCTATCTATCTATCTATCCATCCATCCATCTATCTCTCTATGTATCTATCTATCTCTCTATCTATCTATCTCTCTATCTATCTATCTGTCTATCTATCTATCTCTCTATGTATCTATCTATCTCTCCATGTATCGATCTATGTATCTATCGATGTATCTATCTATCTATCTATCTTTCTGTCTGTGTGTCTGTCTATCTGTCTAGCCATCTAGCTATCTATCTCATCTACACAACTGGCCTCTCTCCCTCTCTCTCTCTCTCTCTATCTCTTTCATCTAATTACCTATCTATCTATCTATCTACCTACCTATCTATCTATCTATCTATCTCTCCCTTTCATCTGTCTATCTGTCTAGCTGTCTACCTGTCTATCTGTGTTGCATTGTCATTCAGTGTAATGTAGTGTGGTGTAGTGTAATTTAGTGTAGTGGAGTGTACTGGAGTGTAATGTACTGTAATGTAGCGTACTGGAGTGTAGTGTATTGAATGTCCTGTAATGTAGTGTCTTGAAGCGAAGCGACATCTGAACCTCCAAAAGTGGCGCGAACATGTGGTGTTTTGTACATTTTGACTTGGAAATGTGCTTCGCAC